ACCCACCGGCCGTGGAGGCTGCAGCCGGAGGGTGTCAGGAAGCCAGAAGCATGAAAGTGTCCTTAAAAAGTCATTAGATGAATTCTCGGAGGATTGTGATTCTTAAACCCAACAGCACAGGTACAGTCTCCAGCCCAGGAGATGCTTCAGCACAGGGAGGTCTTGAAGAAAAGCTGCTTGGTAACCCCTCGTTTTCCACTACCTTGTCCCTAATCCCTTCCCTAGTCCCTCTCAGAAAGGGGATCCAGAGCTCAAGTGTCCCAAGACAGTGAATTTTATGCAAAATATGCGTCTGGTTTTTGTTTTGTTTTCTCTTTTACTTAAAACCATTTTGCCAGGAGAAGACAAAGCAGTTGTCACACCAGACAGCAGGTGACATCAAACGCTCTGGGACGAGACCTCCCTTACCTGCTCACTCCCGTACGAAGCCACGCGCCACCTCCTCTGCCCCCAGACCCGACCCCAGAACTTGCTGCTGCTTCTTCCCCCCACCCCGAGCAAGGACAGGGCCCTCGGCAAGACGCAGACGTGCCCTTCGCTATAAACATTAATCCTCCTGTGACCGGTGTTACAGACGGGGACTATCGTATCGTACCCTTGACTCCATGTCAGCGTCGCCACGCGGCTCCTCAGCCCGTTCAAGCGTCTCTGAGCGCGAGGGAGCCTCCGTCGCCCAAACGCTGGGCAGCAGCTTTTAACCGTGCGTGGCACCGGGCGGACGGTCTGTCATCCCCGGCGTCCACCCTGAGCTCCTCAAGGGTAGGGAGATGTGAAATGAGAACAGCTCCTCTCCTGGCTCGCTCCCAGCTGAGACCGCCTGGCTTCACACCGACAAAGGGAGACGCGGGGTCAGGAGCCCAGCACGATGAAACCAGCCGGCCACGGCAGGGCCGAGCAGGGGGAATCGCTCCAGGCTCTGCGGAGGGGAGCACGGGGCCGGAACAAGCCCGCACAGCAGCAGTGGGCACCGCTGGAGCTGTGTCACCAGGAGAGCTGGAATCCCCGCTCGGCTTTGCCTCTCACCGAGCCACACGTTCCATCACCCTCTCTTGGGTTTGTCCTCCCCGCTTTAAAAAAATCAAAACAGACCCGCAGGGCTGCAGCCCCGTCAGGACGAGCGTCTGCTGCGCGCAGCAAACTGAAACAGCCGGCAGGAGACGGCGTTAAACGTCAGCCGGCTTCTCAGCACCCCACCAGGGCACAACCACCCCTCAAGTCCCGACCTCCCACCGACACTACAGGCTCCTGCCGACACGGAAGCAGCCCCCGACGTGACCTCTCGAGGGGCTGCCCCTGCTCGGGGCACCCGGGTGTGAGCAGGCAGGGAGCGAAGTCCACGCCACCTCTGCCCGCTGTCGGGGAGGTGCCAGCTTACTGCCGAAGTGAGAAGATGCAGCAGCTCCGCCGAGGACGACTGCTGCATCTCAAACCGACGTGCTGGGAGCCCTCGCCGGGTCCCAGCAATGGCAGGAGACGCCGCAGCGGCGGCGTGCTCACTTTGGGAGGAGGCGGCAGCCCCGCGCCTCTAAAGCTTTCCTGAGAAGCAGCAGATCCTCTTGCTCAGAGAGGGTCGGTACACAGAAAAACCCTCCTGGACAGACAAACGATCTGCAGGAGGGGTTTTAGTTTAGGTTGCCATTATCCTGGTGAGAGCAGTTTGAAAAAAAAAAAAAAAACTGAAAAAAAAAAAAAAAAAAACACAACAAACCGTGCACTCAGCATTTGTTTTGTTTTTACGAAGACAGGGAGAGAAATTACCTGTCTGGGGTGAGAGGAAAAAAAAAAACAACAAAAAAATAACCAAAACGCAGAGGTGCAGAACCATGTGCTGGTCCTGGAAAATGGGTCCAGCTTCCCCCAGTTTCTCACTTTCAGTTTTGCAGATCCTCCCCCCATGGAGACAGGAGTTGCTCTGCTGATGGGAAACTGAGGCACCGAGAGAGATTTCCTGGCCCACAGGAAACCAGCGGTGGGTGAGATTGGGGTGCAGCCAGCCAGCGTTCCTCCCGCGAGGGACACGGGGACCCTCCAAGGACAGAGCCGAGGGAAGCAGCGAGAGCAGCCCCGCGGCCACGTCCTCCCCACAGCCGGGGGTTCAGGTGACACCCCCTACCCGAACTGTCCCCAAGCCACAGGGACAGCACCGACCCAAGGTGGTGGCTGGTCAGGCCACGCTCCTCAAAGCGCATGTCGGTGCCGAGTAAAGATTGCAAAAGCCTCTCCCAGGCGAGCCGACCGGCTGGGGAAGGGCGTAAGAAGTTCTGGCTACGCTTTCCTTCAAAGGGATGATGTGAAGGAACAGGTTTGGGGACAACTGACGGTCCCCAGCAGGTCACAGGGAACCTGCCTGTCCTCATCCCCACCCCAGGGCCAGGACAGAAGACCGGAGATCTCAAAAGAGCAAAAATATTCATTACCGCAGCAGGCACAAACTCCAAAGAAATGTTTTTATGGAGCCAGGACTGTAACAACCTGCATTTCTAGACGCACCAAAAGCGCGGTGACGCTGGTCCCTACCGAAACCCAGCCGTCTCCGGAGGGGAACGAGAGCAGACCCCAGTGGGAAAGGGAAAACAGCCTCCACCGAGGCCTCAACCCCGAGCTGGGTTTCTGGGTGCTCTTGAAATAGAAACTGGAGCAAGACACGCCGGGAGAGCTGGGCAAGCCATCCTCCAGGCAGAGGATTCGGCGACCTCTTTAATGCCCACGCAAAGCAGAAGGGACTTCGGTCCGCCCGGGCTCCCGATTTAGAAGCGAAGGAAACCGTTTGTGGCACGCCGGGTCCAAGGAAACAAAAAACCAGCGGAGGTTTGATGTAAAGGTGTTCGGTGGAGCAGGCCTGGGGTTTTGCGCCCAGGACCATCGAGATTATCAAGGCACCAGGAAAGCCCAAGTCTCATGGATGGACAGGGTTTGAGCAGGTTTTGGACAGTAATTCTTTTAACAAAGTGGATTTTGAACCACTGGAAGGTAAAGTGCTGAAGTCAGCAACGGATGGAAGTGGTATAAAAAGAGAGTTAAGCAAAATTTGGGAGATGGGAAGAGAAGAAAAGCGCCTCAGAGCAAAGCTATTGGCTCCAGAGAAGAGGAGTTGGGATGGATTTGGGTGCAGATATCCGACTTCCACCCCGTCAGACGAGGATAAGCCTCGGGGGGCTGCTCGTGCCTGCAGAGCCCTCACTGGAGGCCATGTGGGACCCCCTGCCCGGGCTGGGTGCGAGCACTCGCCCCTCTTGCCGCCGAGGGACCACGTCGCTCCATTTGCCTGGATTTGACAGAAATCAGGGAAGGGGTCTCGGCGCCCGAGGGGGTCTGCGCGTGGCATCACTCCTGTCCTGCCGACGGAGAAGGGCAGGGTGGGCTCCAACACCCTCGGACAGTAAAGGAGCAGAGAAAACCCATAACTCACAGCTCAGAAATTAATTTTTTGGGGGGGGGTTAACGAAGCCGATAACTCAGATCCCAGGGGGCCTGCAGGTGACAGGAGATACGGTCCCCCACCACGGCAGAGCGAGGGCAGCTCGCGAATCAGACTCGGATGTAGAGGCTGCCCGTGGATAACGGCGGGTGAGACGTCTCCCTCCGTCCCACACCGCTCGGCCGGATGAAGGTGGCCGCCCAGTTCACCTCCTCCTGCTGCTGCCCCACACGCCAGCCCTGTCTGCATCCCCCCAGTCCCCCCCCCTAACCCCTCCCAAGCTGGGCACTGGGATTACACCCACCGCCATAGGGGAACAGGAGCATCCACCCAGTCCTGCCCCCTCTCCCCGAATGTCCCCCAGTCTCAGCAATCACAGGCCAAACCTTCCATCCTCAACACCCCAAAAACGGAGCGTGGAGGGGGGGCTGGATATCGAGGTCGCGCCAGCCCAGACCCAGTTCCAGCTGCCTTGTGGAGGGGCCACAGGGATTTGTCCCCTCCCTGCTCACCCCTTTGGGGTTGGGGGTGGTGGGCTCTCCAGAAACGGGGGACTCAAGCTCCCTTCTCCCCCTCACCCAGAGCGACAGCAGCGAGAAAAAGCCCTCAGGGGCTCGGGTAGGGGGGTGAAATCTGGGGGTCACCAGTGTGAGGGGGCCATATACAGCCCCCCCCAGCTGCTTTCTGCAGTCTTCTGCAGGGACATCAGCGCTTCCCAAAAGGATGAGAGAGCTCATCCTCTCCTACAGCCTTACAGGGTGGGGGTCAACCTGTCCTCAACAGTTTTTTTTGAGGGGGGGGTTGTCACTGCACTCAGCAGGGTTGGGGGGGCACCTTACCCCCAGAAGGTTCACCAGGATCTGAGAGCTCACCCCTTTTCTACAGGGTTTGGGGTGCGTGGGAGGGTCACCCCTAAATGCTGGGCTTCTGGAGAACCACCCCTTCTTCCCCATGGGATTTTGGGGGTCACCCCTTCCCTGTAGGACTCGGGAAAGTTTGGGGGTATCACAGCAGCTTCTAAGGCTTTGCAGGGCAGTCCTGGTTCAGGGGACACCCCTTCCCCATAGGATGGGGGGGCAGCCCTTCTCTGCAGAGGTCAGTGATTTTGGAAAGGGGAGGGGGTGGGTCACCTCTGTCTGTAGGGTGTCAAGGGAGCACCCCTTCCCCCAAAGGTCAGGAAAGGGATGGGGAGGGAGGGGAAGGGGGTCACCCCTGTCTGCAGGGTTTGGGGGGGCTGCCCTTCCTCACAAAGGTAAGGGAGGGGATTGGGGGGGGGGGGGGGGGCCGTGCCGCTACCCCTCCTCATAGGGGTGAGGGAGAGGATGGGGTGGGGGTCACCCCTGCCTGCACGGCTTGGAGGGGGGGGGGATAACCTTCCCCTCCAGGCTGAACCCCGGGCAGGGGTTCCCACCCCAAGGGGAGATTTTCTGGAGGCAAAACAGGGACGAGCTCCTCACCCCCGCGCCCGGGGGGATGGGGGGGGGGGGGGACGGGGACGGGGAACGGACACAGCGGCGCTGAGAGGCCTCGGCCTCCCCCCCACACACCCCCCCCCTCTACAGCCCCGACCCCCGGCGCTTACCGGCAGCTTGGGGCTGACCTCTCCCTTGCAGCTGTGGCAGAAGAAGCGATGCTGGGACACGGCGGCCGCCGCCGAGGCCTCCGCCATCTTCTCTCCCCGCCTCCGCCGGCTCCCTGCCGTCAGTCCTCCGCCGCAGCAGAGAGACGGCGGTCCGCCGGATAGAGCGTCGCCGGAACAACCCGCTAACCACGAGCTTCCGGTCCGCCGCTCGTCTGCTCCGGACCGAGCAGAGATGGAGAGCGGGTAGAGCGTCACCTCGGCCCGACGAGATGGAGCGGACAGAGCGTCTCCCGGCCCGGTCCTCCGGGAGGTGCGGAGGCGCCCGGAAGTGGCGGGCGGAGAACCGGAAGTACCGGTTGCCATGGCGGCCGCATGGGCCTAGGCCGGGCCTGGGTGAGTGTAGAGCTCGGCGGGTCCCCGCGGCCGGGTTGGTGCCCCCCGGGAGGGGACACAGTGACCCCGACCCCTCTGACAGCACCCCAACTCTCGGGGAGGGGTCCCACGTGGGAGGGGGACACAAGGGACCCAGCAGCCTCTGCACCCTGATGGGGGGGGTGGGAGCTGCGGATCCAGGGTCCCTCTGACAGGGCTGCCACCCCCCCCCGGAAGGGGACAGGGACCCCCGTGACGGGACTGCCACCCCCGAGAGGGGACAGGGACCCCTGTGACATGGCTGCCATACCCTGGGAGGGGACAGGGACCCCCGTGACGGAGCTGCCACCCCCGAGAGGGGACACAGGGATCCCTGTGACATGGCTGCCACCCCCGGGAGGGGACAGGGACCCCTGTGACAGAGCTGCCATACCCTGAGAGGGATGGAGCTGCCACCCCCGAGACGGGACACAGGGACCCCTATGACATGGCTGCCACCCCCGGGAGGGGACAGGGACCCCTGTGACCGGGTTGCTATCCCCTGGGAGGGGATATAGGGACCAGCCATGTGCCAAAGTCCTGTCCCCTCTGTGTCCCACCCCTGCGCCAGGGGCTGTTTCCCCTCCAGACTCAATTTCCCCCACTGCACCCATTCTGGCGGGGAGCACAGCCCCCCCCTGCCCCGTCCCCCCATAACAGCCCCGATAACGCCGGTGCCCTTCCCCAGCACCGCCGGGTGTTTTAACCCACCGTCGAGATGACTCAGGCAGAGATAAAGCTCTGCTCCCTCCTGCTGCGAGAACATTTTGGGGAGATTGTGGAGAAGATAGGCACTTACCTTATCAGGACGGGCACCCAGCCGCTGCGGATGATTGTCAATGACACGGGGCTGTTGCTGGATCAGGTACGGCCCAAATTCGCCCGTGGTGGCGTTCAGTAACGATGGACAGCCCGTGCTGTCTGTCCCCACTGCTGCTCCTGAGGGAGAAACTGGTGGGGAAAACCTTGAGAAGGACAAATGAGCGCTTTGCTGCTTGCAAAATAATCAGGTGGGTTTTCTTAAGCGGGAGAGGTGGTTCGTTATCTCACTTAAAAAAAATAATCTGGGAAGGAGGGGAGTAACTCTGACTTCTTGGTGGGGAGCAAAGGCAGGGAAGAGAGTCCAGAGCGATGGGGATGGTGTGCAGGGACAAAGTGGTGACACAAACGCCGAGCGGGTCCCAACGGGGGGGAAATGGTGGCTGGGCAGGGAGGAAATGCTCTGCGACCGCCACAAAGTGGGGGTGAGCACGGCAAGGGCTTCTCTGCCACGTAACCGAGCCCCGCTCTGCCCCGGGCAGGTTAAAAAAGCCCTTTGTGTCCTCATCCAACACAACCTGGTGACGTACCAGCTGCAGAAGCGAGGTTTCGTGGAGTACGAGGCCCAGTGCAAGCGGGTCCTGAGGATCCTGCGCTACCCGCGTTACATCTACACCGCCAAGACCCTCTACAACGACACGGGCGAGCTCATTGTGGAGGAGCTGCTCCTCAACGGCAAAATGACGATGAGTGTGGTGGTGAGGAAGGTGGCGGACAGGCTGACCGAAACGATGGAAGGTGGGAAGCTCCTCTCCTTCAAAAAAAGGGATCTGGGAGCGGGAGGAGGTGCAGCGGCTGCCGGAGGCCGGTTTTGCTCAGTGAATCTGGTACCAGAGGCTCCTGGGGCTGTGTTGCGGCGGAAAGCTGGTGGTGAACTTGGAGAAGAAGCCACCCAAAGTGACCCAGCTGCCTGAGGGGGTTATAAATGGTGACCACTGCCCCAACGCAGCCCCTGAGCAGCCCGTTCATGGTGGTTTTTTGAGGACTGCAGGGTCACATTGTCCTTGAGCTGCAGGACCAACATGGGGCTGGCAGAGCTTGACGTCGCCGTCTCTCTCCTCTGCCCTAGACGGGAAAACCATGGATTACGCTGATGTCTCCAACACGTTTGTGCGCCTGGCAGACACTCACTTCGTGCAGAGGTGCCCGCAGGTCCCCGAAACCCCCGAGACCCCCAGCACGCTGCCTCCCCCTGCGCCCACGTTGGTGATCAACGAGAAGGACATGTACGTCGTGCCCAGGCTGAACCTCGTAGGTGAGGAGCCCATCGGGGTAACCCCAGATGGTCAGGGGGGTGCCTGGGGAGCGCTCGGCCACACGCTGTGCGCCTGGGACCGGGGTTTTTAAAAGCAAACGGCGTCTTCTTGGTTTGGCAGGGAAAGGGAAACGGAGACGCTCGTGTGACGAGGAAGAGGACAGCGAACGCAAGGCGAAAAAGCAGAAGCAGGATGGAGAAAGCTCAGAGGTACTGGGGAGGCTGCAGCCAAGGCAGTAAATTGGAGCTGGGCCTGCAGCACGGGGAGGCAGCTGCCTCTTGGGCAGGACGATGCCTGTGTCCTACGTGGAGCCTTGCTGGGGACGCGCCTCTGTCCCCGTCCTGCCAAGGGCTGAGCTCTTCCTCCTCCTCTGAGCTTATGGGCTCGAGGCATCCAACCTCTTCCCAAACACATTCTCCTGGAGAGACCAAACGAGCAGTTTTGTGGTTCCTCTCCCGTTGTTTTTGTGGTTCCTCTCCCTCAGTTTTGTGGCTCTTTCCCCTCAGTTTTTGTGGCTCTTTCCCCTCAGTTTTTGTGGGTCCTCTCCCTCAGTTTTTGAGGGTCCTCTCCCTTGATTTTTGAGGATACTCTCCCTCACTTTGTGGCTCTTTCCCCTCACTTTTTGTGGCTCTTTCCCCTCACTTTTTGTGGGTCCTCTCTCCCACTTTTTGTGGCTCTTTCCCCTCAGTTTTTGTGGGTCCTCTCCCTCAGTTTTTGTGGGTCCTCTCCCTCAGTTTTTGTGGGTCCTCTCCCTCAGTTTTTGTGGCTCTTTCCCCTCACTTTTTGTGGCTTTTCCCCCTCACTTTTTGTGGCTCTTTCCCCTCACTTTTTGTGGCTCTTTCCCCTCACTTTTTGTGGCTCTTTGCCCTCACTTTTGTGGCTTCTTTCTCTCACTGTTCCCCCACAGCCTCCACCCGATGACGGCATTTACTGGCAAGTCAACATCGACCGGTTCCACCAGCATTTTCGAGACCAGGGGATCGTCAGTGCCGTGGCCAACCGCATGGATCAGGTTGGTGGAAGTGCTCAGAAACCCCCTGCAGTCGCTCTCCATGTCACAGGGGGGATCTTGATGGTCGTGGTCAAGGTGGGGAGGTTTTAAACCCAGCTCTGGAGCCATCAGGGGTGGCCCCGCTGCTGCGGGAAGAGCTCAGGACAGAGGGTCTCCCCCACTAAAAGCTGTTTCTTTCCCCCCAAAACCAGACCAGCAGCGAAATAGTGCGGACGATGCTGCGGATGAGCGAAGTCACCACAACCTCCAGCGCACCGTACACCCAGCCGCTCTCTTCCAACGAGGTTGGGTCCTGCCCCTGAGAAGTCGGGGCGTAGCCGAGGCCCTTGTCCCCTTGCACAGCCCCAGCACCGCGCTTGGATCGGGCAGGAAAAGTCTGTAAAGCACCTGCAGATTTAGAAAAGCTGATTATTCCATTTTACCCCTTTATATTCTGTCTGGTTTCCCTCCTGTAGATATTCAGATCTCTTCCAGCTGGATACAACATCGTGAAGCAAGTTTTGGACCAGTATCTCACCCTGTTAGCAGACGACCCGGTAAGAAACACCTGATTATCTTTACTGCCCGAATGTGGGAACTTGGTTTTGTGAAGAAGCTCCGTGTCGAGCTCCTGGCACCTCAAGTCTGCACCACGTGCTGCCTCCCCTTTAGCCACGTGCTGGGGAGATCTCAGACCGAGGGAGAAGCAGTTTTCTACTGATATTTAAAAGATGCTGAAAGTGTTAAGAAAATATGGCCGATGTTCTTAGGTTGTTAAGATCAGAGATTTTTTTTTTTTCTTTTTTTTTTCATAAAATCTACATAGTACTTTTTATGATCAAGATTTTAAGAAAATCGGGATTTTTATTACTTTGGGATGTACTGAACTTTTTGTTTTTTCTTCTCTCACAGCTCGAGTTTGTGGGTAAATCTGGCGACAGCGGCGGGGGCATGTACACCGTCAGTATCCTTTGTGGGTGAAGTCCCTGACCCAGCGATTCCCGAGTGCCGGTGTTATCCCTTGACCTTGATCTCATCCAGATCTCCACAAGGCCCTGGCGTCCCTGGCGACGGCAACCCTGGAGTCCATCGTGGAGGAGAGGTGAAGCAGCAATTTGGAGCCTTCTTTACCCTTTCTCGCTTCCGTCCGCTGATTTATTTTCCTCTGCCACTCAGGTTTGGTTCCCGCTGCGCCAGGATATTCCGCCTGCTCCTGCGAAAGAAGCATTTGGAGCAGAAGCAAGTGGAGGATTTTGCCATGATCCCAGCCAAGGAAGCCAAGGACATGCTCTACAAAATGCTGTCGGAGAACTTCGTGTCCCTGCAGGTGAGGTGGCCAGCGGGAAGGTGACGCAAGGACCTCGTGTCACCCGAGAGAAGGTGTGGGCAGGGAATGAACGTCCTTCCCCTCCTCTCGCCCACCGGCAGGAGATTCCCAAGACTCCGGACCACGCGCCGTCCCGCACCTTCTACCTCTACACCGTGAACGTCCTCTCCTCCGCGCGGATGCTGCTGCACAGGTGCTACAAGGTGCGTCCCGGCCGCCGCCGGGGACAGTCCCGCAGACCCGCCAGTGGCTCCGCTCGCTCTGCCTGTCCCCGGAGGCCACCGGCGCTGCCTGGACCCCAGTCGGGTCCCTGCGTGGCCTCCGTCCACACCACCATCCCCAAGCGGGGCGGGAGGTCCAGGCCCCCAGGCACGCTGCTGCTCTGGGAGATGGAGCCCAGCAGCTTGCTGCCACCACCACGCATGGTTCTCCTCCTCCTCCTCCTCCTCCACCACCACACCTGGTTCTCCTCCTCCTCCTCCACCACCACGTGTGGTTCTCCTCCTCCTCTTCCTCCACCACCACTCATGGTTCTCCTCCTCCTCTTCCTCCACCACCACTCATGGTTCTCCTCCTCCTCTTCCTCCACCACCACTCATGGTTCTCCTCCTCCTCCTCCTCCTCCTCCTCCTCCACCACCACGCGTGGTTCTCCTCCTCCTCCTCCACCACCATGTGTGGTTCTCCCCCTCCTCTTCCTCCACCACCACGCATGGTTCTCCCCCTCTTCCTCCACCACCACGCATGGTTCTCCTCCTCCTCCTCCTCTTCCTCCACCACCACGCATGGTTCTCCCACTCCTCCTCTTCCTCCACCACCACGTGTGGTTCTCCCCCTCCTCTTCCTCCACCACCACGCATGGTTCTCCCCCTCTTCCTCCACCACCACGCATGGTTCTCCTCCTCCTCCACCACCACATGTGGTTCTCCTCCTCCTCTTCCTCCACCACTACACGTGGTTCTCCCCCTCCTCTTCCTCCACCACCATGCATGGTTCTCCTCCTCCTCTTCCTCCCCACCACGTGTGGTTCTCCCCCTCCTCCTCCTCCACCACCACTCATGGTTCTCCTTCTCCTGCTCCTCCACCACCACGAATGGTTCTCTTCCTCATCCTCCTCCTCCATCACCATGCATGGTTCTCCTCCTCCACCACCACATGTGGTTCTCCTCCTCCTCTTCCTCCGCCACCACACATGGTTCTCCTCCTCTTCCTCCTCCTCTTCCTCCACCACCACACATGGTTCTCCTCCTCTTCCTCCTCCTCTTCCTCCACCACCACACATGGTTCTCCTCCTCCTCCTCCATCCATGGTTCTCCTCCACCACCTCCCACAAGTGGGGGCGGCTCTTGGGCCACCCCCACGCGTCCCCTCGCAGCCCCCAACCCCCGGAGCGACGCTCCTGGGTGTACCAGCCACCCCCCTCCACCCTGGGGACTCCCGGGGGTGGGTGCCGGGGGGGGGGGGGGGGGGCAGCAGCACCCCCATTTCACCCCCGCCTCGGGTCTCACCCTGCCCCGCTTCCCTTCCCAGAGCGTGGCCAACCTGATGGAGCGGCGTCAGTACGAGACCAAGGAGAACAAGTGAGCGCCGGGGCTCGGGTGTCGGGAAGACGGGGTGGTGGATTGGGGGGGCAGGTGGGGGGGGCTGAAGCCATTTTCGTGCCCGGCCCCCCCCCCCACCCCCCCCCCGCTCTGCCCCGCAGGAGGCTGCTGGAGAAGTCGCAGCGGGTGGAAGCCATCCTGGCCTCCATGCAGGCCACCGGCGCCGAGGAGGCGCAGCTGCAGGAGATCGAGGAGATGATCACGGCCCCCGAGCGCCAGCAGCTGGAGACCCTCAAACGCAACGTCAACAAGTGAGCGCTGCCAAGGGGGGGGGGGGGGGGGGGCACGGGGGGGGGTTTGGGGACCCCACCATCGCCCTGCCCTTCCCACCCCCCCACCCTGCGTCCCCCCAGGATCGACGCCAGCGAGAACCAGGTGGACGAGACCATCTTTGTGCTGGAGTCCTTCATCGAGAGCAGCGTGAAGAAGCCCTGAGGGGGGGGGGGGGCGTGGGTGGCGTGGGGGGGGGGGCGTGGGGGGGGGGGGGCGTGGGGGGGTCACGCGCCCACCCGCCGTGGCTGCTGGGGACAATAAAGCAGAAGCCAGCACTGGTGGCTGTGAGGGGCAGCGGCGTCCCCCGTGCCTGGGGGGGGGGGGAGTTTTTGGGGGGGTTTAATGGCTGAGTTGGGGGACACCATCGTGTGTGTGTGTGTGTGTGTGTGTGTGTGTGTCCATGTGTCTGTGGGTCCCGTGTCCGTGTGACCCGTGTGTGTGTGTGTGTCCGTGTGTGTCTCTGTGTGTCCCCGTGTCTATGTGTCTGTGTCCACATGCGTGTGTCCATGTGTCCGCATGTGTGTCCATGTGTCTCCATGTATCTGTGTCCGCGTGTCTGGGTCTCTGTGTCCACTTGACCCATCATGTCTGTGTGTTTGTGTCTGTGTGTCCGTGTGTGGGTCTCGTGTGTCCACGTGTCCCGTGTCTGTGTGTCCATGTCTGCGTGTCCGTGTGTCTGTGTCCATGTCCGCGTGTGTCCGTGTGTCCGTGTCTGTCTGTCCGTGTGCCCCGCCGCCGGCAGGGGGCGCACTCGCCGCCTCACCCCGCCCTGTGGAGGCCACGCCTCCGGGCTAGGCCACGCCCCCTCGGCCCTTGCAGCGCCCATGGCGGGGCCGGGGCGCGTGTTGGTGCACGTGCGGCGGGGCGGGGCTGAGCGGCCGGCGCAGTTCGGGCAGGTACCGGGGGGAGAGGGCGGTGTGCAAAGGGGGGGCGGGGCGTGTGCAAAGGGGGGGGCGGGGGCGTGTGCAAAGGGGGGGGGGGGGCGTGTGCAAGGCGGGGGGGGGGGAAGAAGGGAGAGTGAGCGAGGGGCGGGCACGGGGGGGCGCGTTTGCGCATGCGCAAGGCGGAAAGGGTTTGGGGGGTGTGGCCATCGTGGTGCCATGGCGGTGGCCAACGCGGTGGCCATCAAGGAGCCAGGGCGGTGGCCATCGCGGTGCCACGGCAGCATCCAGCACGATGGCCAGCACAGTGCCAGGGCGGTGGCCACGGTGGTGGCAATGCTGTGGCAGTGGCCAGCACGGTGGCCACTGCAGTGGCCATCAAGGAGTCAGGGCGGTGGCCATGGTGGTGGCCATCAAGGAGCCAGGGTGGTGGCCATCGCGGTGCCGTGGCAGCGGCCAGCACGATGGCCAGCACAGTGCCAGGGCGGTGGCCACGGTGGTGGCAATGCTGTGGCAGTGGCCAGCACGGTGGCCAACGCGGTGGCCATCAAGGAGCCAGGGCGGTGGCCATGGTGGTGGCCATCAAGGAGCCAGGGTGGTGGCCATCGCGGTGCCGCAGCAGCATCCAGCACGATGGCCAGCACAGTGCCAGGGCGGTGGCCATGGTGGTGGCAATGCTGTGGCCAGCACGGTGGCCATCAAGGAGCCAGGGCGGTGGCCATCGCGGTGCCGTGGTGGTGGCCACGTCGTCGTGGTCCTGTGTGTGTGTGTCCCCCCCCCCAGAGCGTCACCGGCACCTTCTGCCCGCCGCACGCGGACGCGGCCCTGGTGAGCTGCGGTTTGCACCGCGGCCGCTTCCTCCTCTCGGACACGACCTTCCCCGGCTCCACCACCGCCCTCCTCAAGGTGGGGGGGGTGTGGGGAGGGGGGGGGGGTCAGCGGTGCCCCCCCCCACCCCCAAATGTCCCCGTGTCCCCTCACGGCCCCGCTCCCCACAGAGACCCCCCTTCTGCCCCGCCAAGCGCCTGCCGCCGCTCCTCCCCGCCGCGCCGGGGGTGGCCGCGGGGGTGGCCGTGCTGCTGCAGGCCAGCACCGGCCGCATCCTGCTCACCCGCCGCGCCGGCGCCCTCAGCACCTTCCCCGGCGTCTGGGTGCCGCCCGGTGAGTTTTGGGGGGGGGGGGATACGGGGTGCTGAGTCCTTCAGGGTGCCCCCCGCAACCCGCTCATCCCTCCTCGCAGGTGGGCACGTGGAGCCGGATGAAGAGGTGAGGGGACAACATGGTGACAGCGCCTGGGTGAGTTTGGGGGGGGGGGGGGGGCCAGAGCACTGTGACCCCCCCCTACACCCCCCCCCCCCCCCCCCCAAACTGTCTCCTTGGCTGTAGCTGCTGGCCGGGGGGCTGCGGGAGCTGGCGGAGGAGACGGGGCTGCGCCTGGCAGCGGGGACCTTCTCCTGGAGGACGCTCGGCCTCTGGGAGGTAACACCCCGCTGCGGGGGGGGGGGGGGCTCAGCACCGCGCCGGCCCCCCCAGGGAGCTGAGCACCCTTGGGTGGTGGTGGTGGGAAGGGGGGGGTGTGTCACCTCACATCTGGACGTCCCCGCAGTCCATCTACCCCCCCCGGCTGAGCCAGGGGCTGCCGCGCCGCCACCACATCGTCACCTACCTGCTGCTGCGCTCCGCCGAGTGCCACCGGCGGCTGGAGGTGAGCGAGGGGCTGGGGACGCGGGGGCTGGGGGGGGGGGGGACACCCACACACACCCCCACCCCCCCCAACTGAGCGCTGCCTCGGGGCGCAGGCCGGGATGAGCCCCAGCGCCGGCGAGGTGAGCGCCTACGCCTGGCTGGAGCCCCCGGTCCTGGAGGCCATCGCAGCCACCGAGGAGGGAGCCGAGAGGTCGGGCGCCGTCCCCGAGGCGCTGCCGGACGCCGTGGGGTGAGGAGGCCTCGGGGCCAGGAGCGGGTGGCAGGAATGGGGTGCAGAGCCCTGAGCCCCCCCCCCCCAAAGTCCCTCATCGCCTTTCCCCCTCCTCAGCATCACGGAGCTGAGCGGCGGCACCACCCGCGTCCCCACCGGCACCTTCCTGAGCGCGGCCGGAGGCGGCCAACGCGTCAGCACCGGCACCAAGTTCGCCCTCGGGCGCTGGCTGGAGGCGCGGGGGGGAGCCCGGTCCTACACCCCAGAATAAAAACTACTGCCCGTGGGGAAGCGGTTTGTGGTTATAAAAGGGGGGGGGGGGGGGGGTGTTGACCCCTGGCAGGCCCTGGAGCCGGGCAGGGGGGAGAGCAAAGCAGAGGGAGGGGACGCGGTGCCGCCTCGCCCACATCCCCCCCCCCCGCGCCGGATTTTGGGAATCCACAAGCTCAGAAACCCCAAAAAGCCCTTTGGGGGGGGGTTGCGGGAGGAGCCGGGGCCGGGTCCCAGCGGCCTCTTGCCCCCCCAAATCCTGTTTGTCACCCCGGAACCCCAGGGGTTTGGCTCCCCACCCGTCCTCGGGATTGAACAGCTTTATTGCATTGAAATATTCACCGCGGTTACGATACAAGAACTAGAAAAATCATCCAAGCAGAATACTGTGCGCTGCTCCCCTCATCCCAATTTTCGATTTCAGTGAAGGAGCAGTTAAAAACAAAAACAAAACAAACAAAAAAGGTGCTAAAAAATAATAAATTGCTACACGTGATTCCCTCTGGGCGCTCCAGAGCCGCAGGGCGCAGGGGCCCGGCGCTGCGGGAGGGAGGAGGCGAGTGTGGCAGCAGGGAGCCGGGCTGGAGCCTCCCAGAGCCGCAGCTACGGCCCTGGAGGGGTTCCCAGCTGAAATACACAGTTAAATACATAAATAATTTGTGCAACGGGCAAGGCGTCGTCCCCGGAAACAACGCAACCTTCATTGAGTCCTGGCGTGGATAAACAAGGGGGAGTCTTTGGAGTTTTCTATGTACAAAAGCTGCAACTGAAAATATAGATCATCTATTTGTTCTCTGTACAGGTCTGCGCTGGAAATATTTAAAAGGAGGGAAACAAATCTACATATTTAAAAAAAAAAAAAAAAAAAAAGACAAAAAAGACCAAAACATCGTAATTACAACTGAGCCAGCGCTGTCGCTAGAGGGACAGGCAGGAGGCACCGGCACGGGCGGCCCCGCTCGCGGCTGCTCTTCCCCCCGCTGCCACCTCCCCTAAAAAATGAGGCAGAATTTCCGGGGGGGGGGGGGTCGGGGCACCCCCAGCCTCGCCTGTGGGGCTGCACGTGGGGTCTGGGGCGGGGTGGGGGGGAAGCCCGGGCCCCTCCGCCCCTGGGAAGCGGGCGCTGCCCCCGCCGCAGGCCCAACCACCCTCCTCCTCCTCAGCCCTTCGCCGGCTGAATCCTCCGTCACGCAACTGGTTGTAAAACCAGTTGAAAAGCGGGAGGTTTGGTTAAATCCCACCCACCCCCCCCCGCCCCAGCGCGCTGCGCCGGGGCCGTGGGACGGATCCTTCCCAAGCGCGGCGGGGAGACGGCGTCACACCCCCCCCCCCCCCCCCCCCCAGGAGAGAGGCAGCCCAGTGCCCCCGCCAAGGGAAGCCAACCCCTAAGGCAGCTCCTGGGGACCCCCCCGCGCCCCCCAACCCCGGCACTGGGGTGGGGTGGGGGCTCAGTCCAGGGAGATGATGTCCGGCCGGCAGCCCGGCAGCGCCGCCCCGCCGGCGGCCGTCCCGCCGTGGCCCTCGCGCAGCCCCGCGGGGGAGACGATGCTGCTGATGCGGCCGCTGGCGCTGGGCGAGCCTGCCAGCACCGGGGCCAGGGGGGTCACGTTCAGGAAGTGGCCGGAGGCGCCTCTGTACTGGAAGAAATGGCCGAGCGCGTCCTGCTCGTCCAGGGAGGTGATGACGGAGGGGCTGTAGTGCTGCCGAGCGAAGGAAAAGCCCCCGTCAGCGCACGGTAGCCCCCCCCCACCCAGGCAGCCCTTGGAGGGAGGGGGGGGGGGGGGGTCGCTTTTCCAAACTAACCGAGTATTTCTAAGAACACGGCGCCCCCCCCGATAAAAACCTTTCGCCGAGCTCACCCGCCGCGGTAGCACCCGGGGCAGTAAACGCGCGGCAACGGGCTTTTGCTTTTCCCACTGGAACCGCTCCTGACCGACACGCAGCTGCCTTCGACAGGGCAAGGGCCGCTCGCCTTCGTTGCAAAAACCACCCGAACAAATCCCACGGCCGTTTGGCCTCCCCCTCGGCGATCCATCGCGCCGGCAGCAGCCAAGGCCGAGGGGAACGTGAGTGAAAACCGCCGCGGGGTTGGGATTCCCCCCCCCCCCCCCCCCCCGGGGTCAACGTCCCGGTTAACCAAGCCTGGCCCTGACCGCGCAGCCCGGGGCTCCGGGGGGCCCTGAGGGCCGGGACGTGGAGCCCAGCACGGAGGAAGATGATGGAGCCCTCAGCAAACCCCCAGAAAAGCCGCATCCGCACGGGTCTGCGCCTCCCCCCCCCCCCCAACCTGGATGGGACAAAGCGCCTGTCGCCAAAGCCCCCAGCTCTCCGCCAGCTGCGCGGCTTCAGCCTCAGAAAAGCAAAATATTTCCAGCCGGGAGCCCTCAGCCACTCCGGGATCTGCCTCGGGCAGGCAGACGCGAGGAAGGGGGGTGCTGTGAGAGCAGAGGTGCTGGGCAGGAGCGGAGCGTCGCCCGGCGGCGTGAGGCGATGCCCGCGGACCCGCAAAGCGGGCGTCCCCCCAGCGCCAGCCCGCAACGGCCCCCGCCGAGGGAGAGGACGGAGGGGGGAGGAAGGTTGGCTGAGCGAAGGGGGATGGGGTTTGCCAGCCTGCAGATCTGGCAAGGAGAAGAATGAAAATGAAACAGAAAAAAAAAAAAAAAAAAAACAAAACAAACAAAAAAAACCCAAACCCCAAACTTACCTGATTTTCACTTTGAAGGAAGGAAAACAAATCCAGACCTAGAGAAATAAAAAGGGGAAAAAATAAATCTCTTGGTGGTAAATCAACTTCTCGGCGGGAAGGGGGGGCCAAACCGCGCTGAGGCAGGGCCAGAAGCAGGCGGGTTCCGACTGCCGCCAAGCGCCAGGTACCGCGGTACCGCCAGCCCTGCGACCCAGCCGCCGGGGGCCCGGCCCCCGAGCCCAAAACCCCACAAAGCTCAGCAAACCACGAAGGGGGCCGGCTCGGCGACCCCACGGCGCTTCCAGGCTCTGCCCCCCAGGGACTCCGGCCCGGAGGGAGCCCGTGGGCGCCAGGCGGGCACCAGGGACGCCCCGGCTGCGTGTGCAGCACGGAGCGAGCGCTGTCGGGCCTCTGCCCCTGCCTGGCAGGGGGACTCAAGGCCCTCGCCTCATCTCTGCTCCTCCCTGTCCGTAAAACCAGGCTCTTAAGGCAAGCGAGGCGTAACTAACCCCAGAAAAGCAGGAGGGGAGCTCCCCCAGAGTTCCGGGGAACGGCGTGTCTCCTCCCTCCAGGCAGGAAGGGCGAGTTTGAGCTGGGACACCCAACCCATCCACCGCACCCCCGGCCAGCCAGGAATAAGCAGCCCACGAAAAGAAGTCACAGCCTCATTTCTTGGTGGCCCTGGGGCGCACCGACGAGCCAAAACCCGCGTCGTTCCGACCCGCGAGCTGGATCCAACCACCACATTTCAGGTTTTTCTCTCAGCCAAGATCTGGCCTGCAGGCCCCTAGGGGAATCTCTCTGGAGTCGTGCCCCAGGAGGGAGGGGCTCTCGTTTCCTCCTTCCCTCCTCTGTGCCGGGCCAGCCACTCAAAAACATTCGCTCCCATCTGCAGCGGCTGCCAGGCCGAGAGGAAAAAAAAAAAAAAATACGTGTGTGAGTGTCCCAAAGGGCTCCAGAGGCCACTGGAAGGGGCAGCCGGGGCACCGGCTGCTACAGCCAGCTGCTTGAGCCTGGTGAAGCGGTGCAACTGCGCGATTCGGCAGACTGCTGCCGGGTCCTTGCCGTTACCTTGAAGCTCTGAGGGCACCTGGTAGGGCGGATGGTAGTCGGGGATGGGGAGGTTGGAGAGATAGTCGCTGCCAAGAGCTGCCATGGGAGGGCTCCGGAGCACGGAAGACGGCTGGTGCTCGATACTTAATACCCTGAAACAGAACACAGACCCGATGATGATGATGATGAACCTTCACCAGAGCAGAACGGCCCAGCTGCGGGCAAAACCCCTGAGGGCAACATTCCTCCAAATGGCTGAGGGCAACATTCCTGCTGAGGGCAACGTTCCTCCGGTGGCTCAGCATCCAGCTAAACCCCTGGGGCTACCCCACCTGCAGGCAAAACAACACACACCCACACACACCCCCCCAGGCTCCTCCCCGGTCCCCTGGTGTGGCACCTCACCCTGGCAGCCAGTGCAGCCTCGGATCTGGTTACTGCAACAGCACCAGCCTTCAGGCAAGGAAGCGAGCGGGGAGCAGGAACGGGAAACAAGCCAAAGCCCAGAAAAAGGGGGGGGGGGGGGGTGAAAGGGGTGTCGGGTTCGGGCGCTGCCTTACCCCTTGGGCCCGGCCGCTGTCGGAAGAGCCACGCTGGAGACGGGGCACTGCTTCTTGGCAGGCGGCTCCTCCTCATCCGACGAGCTGTCCAGAGTGAGATCAATAACCTCCACTTTTTTTTTGCCCTCCGCAGAGTTCTTGCCCTCGGAGCTCACGGTGTAAAGGGAGCTGGCTGCAGAGGGAAACCAGCCGTCAGCGTCGGCTGCCGAAAGGGGGACGGGCAGGACGCCGCCGCCTCGACAGACTCGGGGCTCCCGAGCGGCTCCGCAGGGAATCCGACACCCCGACCCGGAGCAGGAGCCCCACGCCAGCGGGGCAGCTCTCCGCAGCCCACCGGGAATTCATGCTGCAGTTTCACCGGGAACCTGCAGGTTTTTCTTGCTTTTTCTAGCACTTGCTCCGCAGTGGCGTGCTAAGTGCCTGTGTTGTGCTCCTGGTATTTCAGCGTGATCCCAAATACCAGCTCCCAGGCGGGATGTGAAACGCCCCGAATGTTGCTTCGGAAATGTTAAAAAAAAAAAAATAAAAAATCTTACGTGAACTTTGCTTTGACAATTAAAAAAAAAAAAACAAAAAACAAAAAAAACCCAAGAATTGGTGACCAAAGCTCCCATACCCTCGATCCCGGTGAACGCGGACGTCTGGCACACCTCCTGGTTCTCCTTCTTCGGCTTCATGGGGCACCAGGAGCCGTCCTCCATGAACTGTATCTCATCACAGTCCGTGCAGGAGTTCAGGATTTCCATGAACAACCTGCCGGGGGAGAGCACAAGCTGGGGGAGAGCAAACGCCGCAAGGGCTCGCGCCGCAATCCAGACCCCCGGATGACGGCAATGACACGGGGCCGGCGGCGCCGAGGAGATGGGTTCAAGGGGTACAGAGAATTACTGCACTAACATCTGTGCCAGTATCACCCGCCGGTTCAGGTTTACGTTCAAGGGACACAGGAGGGCTCTGTTCAAACCCTGGTAAGCAGGTTCCCTCGTTACTGCGGAGGCTGCCAGCAGGCGAGCCAAGATTTTGACAAAGGCGTCTTGTTCTCCGGGAGAAATCTCTCCAGATCGGCACCAAAGCAGTTGAGGGAATCAGATTCCCAATGATTTGAGGCTGTAACTTGTCTATATACGCCAGCATTAGAGGATAAGCCCTAAAAGAACAACATTATCCCGGGCAAAGGCTGTGTAAGCAGCCTGCTCGGCTCACCCGTCGATGATCAGGTTGTCGTAGGGGGCTTTCTTATCGCACACAGGACACGTCCACGTGGGCTTCTTCTCGTTCATTTGGAGATAGAGCGCTGCGTCGAAGCACTGGAGGTGGGTGCACGTGATGGCTCGGCAGGGCACAATCAGCCTCATCTTACCCAGCTGGGGGGGGGGGGGCAAGAAAGTGGCAGTGAAGTCAGTTTTGTACAGACGGAGCAAAGCCAGAGGTGGCAGCAGCCCCTGCTTATTCCCTCCCCCCGCCTGCCCAGCGCTCCGGCCCGTTAAACTAACTGTCAGTGAGGAATGCCCAGGTGAGAGCAACGCAGCTTTCCCGGGGGTATTTTTGCCTTTTAGTTCTGTTTTCAAGCGCGCTTCCACCCCGAGCGCCCACCGGCAGCAAAGGTGAGGGACAAGGATCGGGTGAACGGCAGGCGGTTTTGGGCTGGGCAGTTTAGGTTAAGGATCTCGGCCACCGGGTTTCAGGCGGGCAAGACAGCGGGGTCCTGCTCTCTGTTCAGGGACCAAAGCTGCCCCCGGCGCGCAGGCGGGGCCGCGGCGGGCCCAGCTCTCGCGGCGCGGCCGCGCGGTGAAGGGGGCAGCGGCCCGGCGGGGAAAAACAAACAGAAACGGGGAAAAACCTACCGGGCACATCAGGGAAACCCGTAAGCTCGTCGTAGCTATCTCGCTGTCGGGATCAGCTGTTAGTTTTTCTTTGACTGGAAGAAGAGGAGGGGAAAAAAATAGGTCTCCTGTCAACGTCCTCCTTCTTTTACACGCACAGATGGGTACAGACGTGACTTATGATTCGCACCACGGCACTTAACTGTCCAAATTACGGGCAGGTAACGCTTACGGCGGCAAACATTATTGCCACCAACAGCTCCAGCAAGCCTCCTTGGCTAGACGGTGCGTGCAGCACGAAGACACGGCCCCCACCTTGAAGGTTTTGGAGCCTGCCTCTAAAACAACCGCACGGGGCACCGTGTGGTGGGAGGGAGGGAGGGTGGGCTCAGTGCAGGCGGCAGCGGCCCCGCGCCCGGCCCAGACGGTTGGCGAGCGCCACGGGGGAGGTGGCAGCGACCCGGGCAGCGGGTCCAGTGGCAGCACCAAAAAAAAAAAAAACCCAACCTGTCACCTTCCCGAGCCCGACCCTGCCGTGGGGCCGGCGGAGGGGCGCGCGCGGAGCTTTTGGCCCGCCGGGGGCCCGGCTCCAGCACCCCTACACCCTCCCCCCCCCCCCGGGGAACTTACTCAGGGCCCGCGAGTGGTCGGGATTTCGGATGCCCTTGGCCCTCAGCTTCTGCAGCAGCGTCACCGACGTCAGCTGCTTCACCAGGTACACCGACAGGGAGTAGTTCTGCCGAAGAGAAGGGGACGCTGCTCGGACCTAGAAAATCCCGCCCGAGCGGGGATTCCCCCCCCCTGCCCCCCCCCGGGTCCGTGCCACTGCAAACACGTCCCCGGCGCTGCCAGGAGCCGGCAGGGAGGGAAGCGGGGGGGGGGGGTTTCGCCGCGCTCACCCTGCCGAACTCCGAGGACCAGTTCACGACGATCGTGTTGGGGACGGTCGCCGACAGTCGCGCCAAGGGGGTGATGTTGACGGGGCGGCTGGGTCGTTTCGGCTCGGCGCCGTTTTTCGTGGGCGGGAGGTAACCCTGCAGGGAACGGAGGGTGGCGTGGCACAAACCGGGTCCCCTCCGAGGCGCGGGGCCACGCGCGGGGCCCCACAGAGCCAGCTGCCCCGTGGCACGCCGCGCCCCACCGTGTGGGAACTCCTCTGCAAATCTCAAAGCTGTGCGTCATTATCATCCCTCAACGTCAAGAAGTTAAGAAAGGCTCCCCCCCAGTACCCCCGCGCTGGACCCCCCCTCGTAAGCTGGACCTCCCCACACCCACAGGACCCTCCGGCCAGGCCGAGTCGTGCACAAATGGCACTGAAATAAAACCCGGATCCTCCGGGTAGGATCAGTGAGGCTGGGAAGCTAAAAAAAAAAAAAAAAAAGAAAATAAAATATCACATCCCGTGACAAATCTCACGTTGATCTCATTTTTGCTTCATTACATCCACGTTCCAACTCGATCAGAAACCCATCCCATTATTCAGCCCAAGAGTGCCTTTTCTGTAAGTCAGAGATTTACATCACCCTTCTTTCATCGCCCGCAGTTAGAGCGGGCAGCTTGAGACTGATTCAGCAGCCACCCACCACAGCTTAAGCAGAAGTGAAACCGAGAAAGAAAAAAAAAAAAAAAAAAAAAAAAAAAAAAAAAGCCTTCCTGTCGAGCTGCTGTGCTTCTCAGCTGCAGCTGACTCATCCAAACGAACGCAAGAAACCTCATCTGGGAGCAGAAGCTGGGGGGGACCCTTTAGCCATCTTGCACCCCTTCCCCCTTCCCGTCCCACGAGGCCAGAAACAACTTCTATTTTTATTTTTTTTAAGCAAGTTACTTATTGTCTCAGCCCAAACCAGGCAGAGTATCTGAGGCCAAAAATGCAAATCTCTAAAACTATGACGGGAGAGGCTCCAGCAGAGCCTTAGAGGCTGCTCTGCAGGTCTGATGGCAAAAAGCACCAGCTCCGGTGGAGCGGAGCCAGCGCGGGACACGGGCAGGGGACTGGCCTGACACTGCCAAACCCCTGACACCCCTCCCAGGCGTGACACTGAATCGTGCCCCTTCCTGGGCTGTGAACTGGGGCGAGCACTGTTTGTTACTATATTTTTTTTTTTCCCCACATTACCCAGCACAAAGGACCCCCAGCCTTGGCTGGAGCATCCAGGTCTATCCTGTAATGCAATAAACTAAAGGCAGTGCCATTATTCCACTAACCTCAGATTTTACTCTGCGTTGTTATTACCAAGTTTCTTCTCAAAAAAAACAAGAGGGAATCTGCTGGTTAGAGGGGGGGGGGAAAAAAAAAAAAAAAAAAAAGGAAAAAAATCAGCCCCAAAGTTTGCATATTCTTCTACTTAAAGACCACACTCCTTGAATCAAAGAGCAGCTTTCATCACCAATCCACAGCCCTGTAACTTGAAATCAGTTGTGCACTCTAACCACACCATTTCTTCAAGTCAGTCTTTAATCTCCGGAAAAAGACATTCCCACTGCACTCCCTGGGAGCTGCAGTTGTGTAAAAGGGCAGATTTTAGTCTACAACGTGTTAAGAGAAAATAAGGTTTACTCACAGGCAGGGGACAGAGTTTTCCATTGACCTTGACAAATAAATTAGGAGGGAAGTAATCTTCTTGGGGACAGCTGGTTTCACACAAGCAAAACCTAAGCAGCAGGAGGGAGAAACTGGCAAGTGAGTGGCGACACTCGCAAAAAAAAACAGCAGCCAAACTTCCCTTTAAAAAGGGAAAAACATTTTTTCCAAGCAGGACAGACCAATGGCCGGAAAACACCTAAGCAGATGAAGAGCCCCTGCACGCGTTTCAACCCCGGCGCGCGGCAAAAGCGACACGAGGAGCGAGCCAAGCGCCAGCGAGATAAAGCAGCCGCGGACGCGCGCGGGGCCAGGGCTGCTTTTATTCAGCCCAGACGGCAGCCCAGGCTCTCCCGAACCCCCCGCTTCCAAGGCCAAGTGTATTCCTCCGGCCCGACAGCATCCTCGGGAGGGCAGAAACCCAGCTCGGGGCCGGGGCGGTACGGACAGCTAGCCTCTGGGACGGGGGAGCACCGCCACCCCCCCCGGCCGCCCCGACAGAACCCCCACGCTGGCAGCCTCGGATCGGAGGGTTTAAGGCAGGTGTGGGGGCACCCCCCCCCCGGGGCAGCTTCACCCACAGCCGCTGCAGCGCTTCGGGATGCAGGGAGCTGCATCTGTTACCCAGCACAAGCACCTGAGGGACCAGAAACCAAAGCTCACCCGCTGCCAGGCGCTCCCCTGCCGCCGCCTCCCTCATAGCCCAGAATCATTTGGGTTGGAAAAGGCCTCGAAGATCACCGAGTCCAACCGTCAGCACCAGCAACCCCCCCCGACAGGCGCCGGGTTCAAACGCTAACCCCAGCGAACTGTTTTCTCTCCAAGGAGAAAAAGGAGGGTGCTGTGCCAGAGGCAGCTCCCCACGCCGAAACCCCAGTCCTGCCCCGTAGCCGTGAGTCAGAGCGACCTTTCTGAGCTGTGAGACCAAGCCCCGGCACGCCACGCCGATGCGACGCCACACCACCGCCGCTCTCGAAAGATAAATCTCCTCTTACTATTTTTCAACCTCTCTCTGCTGGCCAAACAAAAACGAAGAATAAAATTGGGAGTCAACCCTTCTCTCGCTCGGGAGCACGAGAACGCAGCATATGCTGAGGCACGTCAGCAGGAGAGAAGAAATGGCGCCACCATCGTTTTTAACTCCTGCACTAGAGTTTGCTGAATAAGGGTTTGGCTTCTTCGGGCGAAGGGGTGCGCTCCGGACACCCCGGGAGACTCCTGAAAGCTTCCTGGTGGGTTGCTGGGTAAACTCTGTTTCGTCCCCAACAGCCAAAACACCAGACGAGGCGCATGCGCCCAGACCGGTCCTTTCAAAAACACACAGGGTGCTGTTTGGTGCTACAGGAGCAACATTTCCTCCCGCTGCCTGTCAGGGAACAGGACGCCCGTCTGCCTGCGCACAGAGCTGGTGGGGGGGAGAGTGGAACAGATGGACACAGCGGGAAAACCGCGGCGGCACGGATCAGAGAGACGCTGCCACAGCACCGTAATTAATGTAACAACGTGCTGCCTTTTGAACTGCAGTCCAAGTCTTCCGTTTCAAGCTTCCAGGTATCGCAGCAAAAGCCCTGAACTCGCTTCTTGTCCGAGATTACAGCTGTGACCCTCCGTTTCTTTCCGCCGGGTTCAAACCCCCCAAAAATAAAACGTTAACATTGTGTAACCCTGCCAGGGGTTGAGTGGTGGGCAAGCGCCTGCTCGGTCCCTGTTCAGTGCGGCCGGTCAGTGTGGGCAGGCACTGAGGCAGCCACCCCGGCACCGACTGCAAGAATCGGGGGATCATCCCTGAAGCATTTTCAAGTATTTCTCTACTCACGCTCTCCAACACGTCTTGCATTTTCATGAGTAGCAACTAGGTGGATATCAAAAAAGGTTTGAATTTTAAGGTCATGTAGTTTTTGCCTCTTCCTCCGCCTTTTGCAGTGAGTCTGCAAAAAGGTCAGTAATTAAAATGGAGAAGAGAAAGAAGCGAGTTCTATGTGAGTGTGCAAACACTGAAAAAGATTCAGTTTCGCTACATTTAAAACTGAAAAAACTTGTGTGCAAGGCCACATCACCTGGGCCAGCAGCGTCACCCAGAGAGAGCTCTCTCAGCGTCGCCGAGTTCAGAAAGAGCCTCGTGGTCCGGTGCCCCACGACACGGTGTGCCAGAGGCTCGCTCCCACGCAGGAACCCGTGCTCAGAACCAAACATTTCAAATCCCCCCCTGAGCAACCCGACACACAATCGCAAGCCAAAGCAAGTGCCAGAAGCATGATTCACCCAAATCAAGGACAAATTAGTACCGACGCGCTAGCCGAGGGAGCAAGACTTAATGCGTTCATCAAAAAGACAGCGCCTTACCTTAATTGCACCTGTATAGTGTAATCACATTTGGCACCTGGTAGGATATCTCTGCAACAGAAAAGAAGGTCTTAAGACTGTCAGCAGCGCCTAATGGGGGAATTACAACTCCAACAGCAGAACATTTCATTAAGTTATATTGATACCGGTACACGTTAGTTGTGTTACGAATAAAACCAGCGCAGCTGAACTGTAAAAACAGGTCATGCCTGCCCGAACGGGCGGGCAACATTCCCAACCAAGGGCGTAAAGCAAAAGCTCCCCGAACAGAAGAGAGAGTTGGGGGGGGGGGGAAAGGAGAAAGTCAACCTCCGAGATTCTCGCTACTGCAGAATTTTCAGAGTAGAATGGCCATGACAAAGTCGTCGGCGCAAACCACCGACGGTGTGCGCGGGCACGGGCGGAGGCCAGGCCTACGCCTGGGGATGAACTACCACGTCTTCACCCCGACCGCCACGTTTCCTTCCTTCCATCCAAGAGCTGCACCCCGCAGGCTTTGAGGCGAGCCCTCGGGGGCGCAGCGCAGCTCCGCCGACAGCCAGGAGCTCCCCTCTTTACCCCCCCGCGCTGCAATGCAGGGGCGAAGCAGGAAGCGTTGGGAGGGTCAGCTCTTCCCCCGACCCTGCTCTGACCGCCTCATCCTCCGGGCTCGCTCAGCCAAACTCTGCCCGTTTTTCCCCTCCTGGCTCCGGGGAAGAACACGCAGCAGGGAGGCCGCGCGCCCGCCCGCGGAGCGCCCAGCGCGACGCTTACCGGGAGGTGAGGATCTGTTGAACTTGCTGGGGGGTCAGAGCAAAGGTGAAGTGAGCTTCTTCAAACCGCTGACTGTTCGTCGAGGCTGAAGGGGAGAATTTCAGACAAACGAAACCGTTATTCAGTCAGCCGTCTACCTGCAGGCGCCAAGGCTTGTAAGGAACAGAGGACAGGAACCCCTAAAGGCAGAAGGCAACCCGTCCTTGAATCAACTGCAGATCCATCCGGGGAAGTCCTTGACCACGTAACCATGGGTCGAGCTAGCCGTAAATAAAGTGATGGAAACTGAACAAGAAAAAAACTAAGGCCTGGAAGGTCAAGGTGCCTTGCCCAGATCAGAAAGGGGAGGAAAGAGGGGAAACCCTCCCGCTCACTCTCGTGGGTCCGCAACAGCCTCCCGAGTCCCCGAAGAGCGCGCGGCGCTTCCCGGGGAGCCGCAGCCAGGTTGGGCAGCGTGAGATCAAGCCGGGGGGGGAGCTAAGGGGGTGCCGGGGGTCACCCACCGCCCTGGCAGTGAGACCAGCCACTGCGGTTATGGAGCACGTGCAGGTGCCAAACACCGACCGGGCTTTGCCGTTTTCACCCTGGGCACGTGGCCGGAGTCCCAGCGGTTCGGAGGAAAGCGGCCGGGCCCGTGACTGAAAATATAAACACACGTGGAGAAACCCACGTAACGGGAGAAGCAAGAATTTCACAGGAGGGTCAGCGACAAGCACGGTGAAAACGTTTGGTGCAAGGTACATATAAAAAGAAATCAGGATTTCCCCCTCTCTTACCCCGGCCTTAACCAAGTCACTACTTCTTCCGCACTCGAGCTCTTCCCTCGGTACAACTGGCGGGCGTCTGCCTGCCTCACAACTGTTTTATTAATATTTGCAGGGTGTTGGCATCCTAGGATGAGGACCACTGACGTTGTAAGCCAGTGTGATTCGCAAAGAGCCGATTCGGCCTCTTCTGGGCTCGTTTTTCCACCCGTGAGGAGAGGTCCTGAGCAACAGCAGCCCCCCGGGCGCTCTCCGGGACGGGAGAAAACGCAGCCGAGGCTGTCGGCGCAGCAGCACGTGTTAGCCTAAATCTCACGTTTTGATCCCTGATTTATTGCAAGGAGTTCGGTAGCACTTGTCACGAGCTGGTTGTAGCGTCACCGTCCGAGGCGACCCCAGACCCACGGAGAAGGTTAGCTCTGTCCTCGGGGGGGGGCCACCCTCACGCCGGCCTCCCCAAAACCCACAGTCAAGCACAGATTCCTCCGTGGGGCGAGGGGTTTTTCCTTCCCCAGCCTCCTGCAGCTGAGGAATGCCAGGAATGCAAGGCCCGGAGTTTCCTGGCAGATGATCTGCCAGATCTTCCCCGGAACCAGGAGCGACGGCAGGACTGGAGAAATTCAGAGGAATTTTGACCACCTTGGGACTTTGTGTCCTTTCTCAGTGACAAAAATCAGATCCTGAATTCTGCTCCAAAACCAGCCGGGGTAAAGCCGCTCAGTATTTGCAGCTTTCTCCATTCTCTGCTGCCCCCGATTATAACCGATACCCGACCTCCACCTAATAAGCAATTCATAACCAGTGTTACTGCTCTGTTGGCAGCCTTCGTCCACCCCACGGAGGAACACCGGCATCTCCAAAATTCACAGAAACACAGCCAGGGGTTTGCTGCGGGATGGGGAGCGGGAAAGACAAAGCCTGGATCTTCCTCACTTGCAGCAGAGCGCAGACGGGCCAGGGGGCTTTATCAGTGACCCCCGTCTTCGCCCATCACCACCCTGTCTTCACTATTTCTTCCCATGTCTTCCTGATATCTGGCATTTCTCTGACACCACAACCTTTGTATCTGGATACTTGTAACAAATATCCCCGAGTAACTAAAAGAAAAGAACGGGAAGAAGACGTTTTACACAGCAAAGACACAAACCACCAGGAGCCAAAAATAAAAGTCGATGATCCCCTAGGGATTACATAAAAACCCTTTCAAGTTTAAGCACAAACACATAAGTAAGGGAGTTTCATCAGGAGAGAGAAAAAATAATAAAAAAAAAAGAAAAAAAATCATTTCTTTTGCAAGGCGAGTATCCCATTTCAGGGAAGAGGCTTAACCACAGGTTGTCTGAGAGACTGAACAAAGCCAAACCTAAGAAAAGGCAATTTTTAGCAAAACAGTAACAAAACCAAACCCCCCCTAAAAATGCATGGGTTTTGGTTGGAGTTGGGACACACTGATCCTCACTTTAGCAAACATTACTATGTTTATATGTAAGAAAACCAACCCTGAATCCAAGCAAAAAAAAAAAAACAAAAACATTTAAAAGGCATGAGATGGGTGGATCTGGTCTGAAGAGGCCAGAAGAGCTCAAGCTAAAGTAAAAATACAACTTACAATTTATTCTAAGAACCAGAATAAAGCCTCCATAAACCAGAGTGAAACCTTCTTCATGGGCCCAAATGATCCCAAGCAAAGCCTGCAGCAGCGCTTCCAAAACCACCCGCGATTCCCGGGCTAACTCTGCACTGTATGTCTCCCCACCACCATTTGAAAGATAACGAGAACCACAACTTTTCTGTAATTAAGCAAAAAACAGCATTTTCTTTTTCCTGTTTTACAAATGGGGGGTGCATCAGAGCACTCGGCCTCCGTATCACATCGAAAAACAAGTGGCTTTGCCCTTTTGCTCCGTTTCTGCTCTTATTTAAGATCCCTGTTTGCTTCCTGCCCGACACCAAGTTTGCTCGCCGCCACAGAACCAGCCTCTTCCCGTATCTGCAACAAGCTGGATCGCCGCGCATGAAACAATTCATTGATTTTGTAAATTGGAAGGTTTTAGGACTACATTTTTGTTAATGATTAGGGCAGAATTAGGACTCAAAGGCAGCAGAGGATTTTTAAGAAGCTGTTTTGCTGGAAGTTATAGTATCGATTGTTTGCAAAAATAACAAACCACTTTTCCTAATTAACTCTCTTGGCATTAGCTAATTTGTTCGGCAAGGGAGCCTGTGCCAGCTGAACCAGGTTTCCATTCTCTCGGGATTAGGAACCAAAAGCCGACGTACCACAGACCAGAGAAAGCTTCACAATTCAGAACGCAAAGAAAACCCCGGCTCCATCAGGTAAAAGGAGGAAATAATCCCACACCTATACACATTTACAAAATACGCACTGAGCAGAAAAGGCGTCAGCTGGGAGAGAAACAGCCTTTTTCATGCAAAAAGATTTGGACCATGACTGCCAAGCAACCAAAAGCTGCTGTTTCTGGCAGCCCATACGAACTGGAGTTGGGAGTTACCGGTCCAAACGATGTGCGGGATGGAGCAGCTCCGCTGTGAGGCCGGGCTGAGAGCTGGGGTGCTTGGGGAAGGCTGAGAGCTGGGGTGCTTGGGGAAGGCTGAGAGCTGGGGTGCTTGGGGAAGGCTGAGAGCTGGGGTGCTTGGGGAAGGCTGAGAGCTGGGGTGCTTGGGAAGAGACGGCTCCGGGGAGACCTCCGGCTCCGGGGAGACCTCCGAGCGGCCTCCCAGTAACTTAAAAGGTGGGGACAGACGTTTCAGTAGGGCCCGCAGCGACAGGACGAGGGGCAACGATTTTAAACCCAAAGAGGGGAGATCTAGATTAGATAAAAGGGAGAAATCCTTCCCTGTGCGGGGGGGTAGGCGCTGGCCCGGGGTGCCCGGAGCAGCTGTGGCTGCCCCCTCCCTGGAAGGGTTCAAGGCCAGGTTGGACGGGGCTGGGAGCCCCCTGGGCTGGGGGAAGGGGGCCCTGCCCGGGGCAGGGGGGTGCACTGGGGGGGCTTTGAGGTCCCTCCCAGCCCAAAGCATCCCACAAGTCTCCAAACCCCCGCTTTCATCTGGATACCACCCCTCTGAACCCAGCCGGCAGGCTCGCCCTGCGGAAGGGCCCCCAGCTCACCCCCCCCCCCCCCCCCCAGCCCGAGCCAACCACAGGCGCCTCCCGAAGAGGCGCGAGGCGTTTCGGCGCGTACCTAACGTGGTGGGTTTTATCAGCTCATCGTACACGTCGTAGAAGGGCAGCCTCTTCATCTTGACGTCCGGGTGGACGGGGTGGACGGGGGGCGAGAGGTGCTGGACGTCCGACTCGTGCTTGGGGCCCAGCACGGGCACCGGCGGCAGCAGAGCCCCCGGCGCGGCGGCGGAGCCGTGGTCGTAGGGCAGGTGACACACCGTGCCCTGCGGCAGCGCGGCGGCCGGGGGCAGCTGCCCTGCCTGGATGTGGAGCATCGACAAGTCCGAAGGGGTCAAGATCTTCCTGGGGAACCTCCGCCGGTACAGCTCTTTGATTTTCATCTGGACGGCCGGGCTGCAGCCAGATTTCAGCAGCTGCAACGCCTTCGTGAGAAGTTCGTGTTTCCTTCCACTTTTGTTCCTTCCAGCAAAGCCCAAGAGAACTTGTAATTCTGATACCCTAAAGCTCATAACCATATGCTGCAAGAAAATAAAACAGCCACCATTACAAGTGCTGTGTGAGCAGACGCGATCCAAAAACAAGCCACGGGCTCACTAGGGAAGATGGTGGAGGCCTTAAAAGAGACACTGTCAAGTTTGAAGTTCCCCTTGTCATCAGTAACCCCGCAGTAGCAGAACTGTAAATATTTAGATTTGGTTTTAAATGCTTTGCTTGGATCTGGAAACGCAAAAAGGTCACATTCGCTTCCCCACTCGAGGAGCGTCTGAGCAGTTTCCGAGACCCAAACAGTTGTCAAACCGCCTTCCCTTCAAACAAACGACGGCAATTTCTCGTAGGGTCAACCTTGCATTTAAACTAAGGCTTTTGTAACTCTCTGGGTTTAAAGCTCTCCCTTTAAATCTCCTTCAGGCTGGCTTAGAAAGGCCGAGCCCCAGCGTGACCGCAGAGGTTTTCAGCCACTGCTTTTATTCTTTTATTTCAAATATATACTTTGGAAATGCCGGGTTTGGGCCCGATGTTTCTCTAAGGAGACTCAGACAGCAAATCTGAAAACAGCTGCGGGTCATTAATGAGAAAGGCTGCAATTAAGGAAAAAGATGCACCAGGCACCACCTCTAAGCTGGCATCATTTATCCACCTGCCTCTCCGAAGGAGTCTCTCCAGCAGCAACCTGCTCACTCTCACCACACGACCAACAAGCCTGACAGGGTTAAGTTGAAAGGCGCCCAGAAAGGAGAAAATACAGAATTATTCCCATTTCACAGGGGGAAAAATCAAAAGGGTCCCAGAGACCTCTCCGCAGCCACACCAGGCAAGTTAGGAGCAGACCTGGAAACGGCTCAATCTCACGAGTCGTTCACAAAACCATCCTCCTCCCCGGCTCGTGCTACGGAAGCACACGTATCCTTACGTGCACATCTACGTATGTGTACATATTACAGCACAATCTTTTCTTTCATGCAGGTAAAAAAGGGTTAAAGCTGGGACCAGTCAACTCCCACCACCCTGCATCTAGAAAGACTTTTCCCTTTAGGCCCCCAAAGTGCAACCAATTCAACAGCAGAACTGTTCTCAAATTAGTTACGACTTTGTGGGGTTTAAATCCATGGGTTTGGGGCTTCACCTCACTGCAGCAAAGCACTGGAGGGTTGGGGGGGGGGGAGGCTGGCTTCTGCAAGTACAGAAGTGCCAAAAGACTGCGAGCCATTTGATAAAGGAAATGCAGAAGAAAGGCTGAAGCCTCGTCAGTTTAGAAAGAGGCGTATTTTGCACTTGGACTGAGTCTCAAACCCAGCAGAGCTAATTTTCCTTCAAGAAGAGCTGATGGGAACATCCCAACTTTGCATCTCACAGACCAAGTTTTCTAGAGTCACTTAAATACCAAATTAAGAAGCACAGCTCCGTGATCTTCAAGTCCAGCTTATGAGAGAGTTAATTGATTTTGGACTGTGTGCCAAGAGGATTTAAGGCAGCTTAATTCGCTGTATTAGGATCGTGTTGCCCGCACACCAAACACACAGCATCTCAGGACAACGTGACAGATGTTCCACTTCCCAGTGGGACAGAAAAAAAAAAAAGGGCTGTATTTGGTAAAGCTATCAAAGCCAGCTCTGTCGTTACACACAGTGCCATGTGGTCCCTGATGTGTAACAGACACAGCGTCAGATCAAGGTTCCGTGGAGGAAAAAAAAACCTGTAGGTCACGTGGGATTTGCCCGTTACCTTTGCTGGGTGACACGTTCAAGAGAACAATGATTAACTTTTTTTTTTTTTTTTTCCCCCCCCCCCCTTTTTTGGAGTGAGGAGTATTTATTAGAAGCAGGAAACCTGTGTTGTTTTAAGAGGAAAAAGCTCAACTCGGGGTCTCTCAGCTTTGACAGCGCCTGTTTTAAACACCTCCCGGAAAAGATACATTCGGGACGCGCATTTCTCCACTACCCTCCTTACCAAGACCCTCCCCTTCCGCGAGAATCCTTGTAAAGGAACCGACCTCCTCCCACATCCACTCCTCCTACAAACCCTCCGGACAGAGGCCTTCGACAGGCAGGAGATTAGTGTAGCATGGCTCACCAGCACAAGATTCACGTTTATCGTTACAAAAAAAAAAAAAAAAAAAAAAAAAAAAACACCCAAAAAAAAAAACCACTTGCATTCGTGACATAGGATGGCTGTGTCACCACCGCTGCAGCAGCTGTGGACTCTCATCTACCCCCCGAAGCCTCTGCGGTTACTGCTCGGAGTATCGGAGCAGCGGAAAAAAACTCTTTTATTGCCGTACGAGACGGCAGCCGGGAGCTCTCGGCGGGCACCTGAGGCTTGGGTAGCTGGATCTGCAGCAGACTCGAGTCCGGTCGTGCCGCTGTTGAACGAGGCACCTCCACAAACCTCTTCGTTCCAGGGGAGTCACCGCTCGGTCTTTTAAATAAAGGAAAGTGTCTTAAGCCAACTACGGGCTTTATAAGGAGAAATCCTTTTGTTTTCAACTGGCTCGTCTTGCTTTTACAATGAGACACAGATGGTAAAAAGCTTAAACAAGCTCCTGGCGAGGAAACCAGAAAGGGGGTTAGGGGAGACGGAGGAGGAAAGGGAGCAGGGATTCAAAAAGAAACTGAAGAAGCCTCAAATCACGCCGAGCTCCACCGAAAGGGCTGGCGCCCCGGGGGGGGCCCGGAGCCGTAAACCTGCGCGCTAAGCTGCACCTAGTGTTAACCCACAGCTCCTCTGCAGGGAGCTAATCCGCAGAGGGAGCGGAGCGCGAGACGTCGCAGCTGCTTCGGCCCGGGTCTCGCTCGGCTTTACCGTTTGCTAAACTATGGCAGGATTATGGACGCGGCTGCCGGGGCTCGAGTTCCCAGTCCCCTAATCACAATCATCGGATCCAATTTCTCCGCTAACATCGTTAACGTTTTGCCACTGGATAGGGCTCCCGTTGCAGGCAGGCTTAAGTTTTAGGGGAGGAAGAAAGAGCACGCCATAAAGCTGTATCAAAATTTGGACAGGGCACTGCTGGAAAGATTACAGACAAATCTTACTCTGGAGAATTGTGCTTTTGCTGGGGCTGGCTGCCAAAAAGGTGCCAGTTCCCCAACGTCTCACTGTTCCCAGCACAGGGAAGGGGGCAGGAACTCCTAAGACCTATATTCCAGCCTGTGGGGGGGAAAAAAAATATTAAACCGCCAACAAGGAGAGAGAGAAAAAAAAAAAAAAAAAAAAAAAAATCAGCTTTGGAATTAGTTACCAGGGGCAATTTCATATTCCACAGTCTGGTGGGCAAAGGTGGTGACACACTCTGACTCCTACAAAAACGAGAAAAAGAGAGTGGAGGGCGATGAAACCCCATCCAGCTGTGAGCACTGGTGCAGCACTACCATGTTACACGCTCTCTGCTCCCTCCGCCCCCCACCTGCCTCCGCATCGTCCCCTCTCCTGCCCACCCCCCCCGGCATCCTTCGAGGCTTCGAACCACTCCGGCTCTCCCTGCCTTCGGGTTTCTACCTCTCTTCTCCACCGTTCTGCGCCTCCGAAGCCCCCCCCCCACCCCCCCCCCCCCCCCCAGGGTCTTTCAGCCCCCTCCTCTCGGGGCCAAGCCCCCCCGGGCTCGCTGCCGTAGCCCCCAGCCTCACCCGCCGCTCAGCGGGCACAGGTCCAGACCCCAGCCCCTGCGTCCCCGGGGGGGGGGTCCCTTGTGCTTCCCCCGCCACGGCTCTGCCCCCCCCCCCCCCCCCCCGAGCCGGGACCCCACGGCTCACCTCAGCCCCCCCCGTGCACCCCGACCCCGGCATCCCCATCCCTCCCCGCGCTGCCTCCCAGCCCCCTTCACCCCCCGCTGCCCCACACCCCACTACAGCCCTAACCCCTGGCTCTGCCACCCCACTGCCACCCCCCCCTCTGGCTCCCAAACATCCCCAGCCCCACACACCTCCTCGGGCCCACTGCAGAGTCCCCCGGCCCTACGCATCCCCCTGGCACCCTGAGGCCCCCTCAGCCCCACACTGCCTGATCCCCAGCCCCACACTATCACATCCAGCCCCAAACTGCCTGATCCCCAGCCCCACAGAACCTCTCAGCCCCACAGTATCACATCCAGCCCTACAGAGACCCTTGGCCCTACACTGCCTGATCCCCATCCCTACAGAGGCCCTCAGCCCCACATTATCACACCCAGCCCCACACTGCCTGGCCCCAGCCTCACAGACTCCCTCAGCCCCACACTATCACACCCAACCCCACAGACCCCCTCAGCCCCACACTATCACACCCAGCCCCACAGACCCCCTCAGCCCCACACTGCCTGGCCTCATTCCCACAGAGCCCCTCAGCCCCACACTATCACACCCAGCCCCACAGACCCCCTCAGCCCCACACTGCCTGGCCTCATTCCCACAGAGCCCCTCAGCCCCACACTATCACACCCAGCCCCACAGGCCCCCCTCAGCCCCACAGGCCCCTCCAGCCCCACACTGCCCGCCCCCACCCCCGCTCCGCTCCCGCCCGCCCCGCCACCACCACCCCCCCCTCCCGCCGCACCTTCAGCTCCGCCGCCTCCGCCATCTTGGGACATGGCAGCCGCCGCGCAGGGACCGAGGCAAAACTCCGCGCCCCGCCGCGGCCGCACGGCGCAGGGGCCGGGCAGCGGCAATGGGGCGGGCCGGGGCGTGCGCAGGGACCGTCGCGCAACTCCGCGCTCGCCGCGCAGCCGCAACGCCACGCCCACTCGCTGCTGGCCACGCCCATGCCGTCTGGCCACGCCCCCCCGGGACGGGATGGGCGGGGGCTGCGCCGAGGGGCAACGGGTCCGGTATGGGGCTGGTCCTGTATGGGGCTGGTCCTGTATGGGACTGGTCCGGTATGGGGCTGGTCCGGTACGGGGCTGGTCCGGTATGGGGCTGGTCCGGTATGGGGCTGGTCCTGTATGGGACTGGTCCGGTATGGGGCTGGTCCGGTATGGGGACTGGTCCTGTATGGGGCTGGTCCGGTACGGGGCTGGTCCGGTACGGGACTGGTCCGGTATGGGGCTGGTCCTGTATGGGACTGGTCCGGTATGGGGCTGGTCCTGTATGGGGACTGGTCCTGTATGGGGCTGGTCCGGTATGGGGCTGGTCCGGTATGGGGCTGGTCCTGTATGGGGCTGGTCCGGTATGGGGCTGGTCCGGTATGGGGCTGGTCCTGTATGGGACTGGTCCGGTATGGGGCTGGTCCGGTATGGGGACTGGTCCTGTGTGGGGCTGGTCCTGTGTGGGGCTGGTCCTGTGTGGGGCTGGTCCGGTATGGGGCTGGTCCGGTATGGGGACTGGTCCTGTATGGGGCTGGTCCTGTGTGGGGCTGGTCCGGTATGGGGCTGGTCCGGTATGGGGCTGGTCCGGTATGGGGACTGGTCCTGTATGGGGCTGGTCCTGTGTGGGGCTGGTCCTGTGTGGGGCTGGTCCGGTATGGGACTGGTCCGGTATGGGGCTGGTCCTGTGTGGGGCTGGTCCGGTATGGGGCTGGTCCGGTATGGGGCTGGTCCGGTATGGGACTGGTCCGGTATGGGGACTGGTCCTGTATGGGGCTGGTCCGGTATGGGGCTGGTCCTGTATGGGGCTGGTCCAGTATGGGGCTGGTCCTGTATGGGGCTGGTCCTGTATGGGACTGGTCCAGTATGGGGCTGGTCCAGTATGGGGCTGGTCCTGTATGGGGCTGGTCCGGTATGGGGCTGGTCCGGTATGGGGCTGGTCCTGTATGGGACTGGTCCGGTATGGGGCTGGTCCTGTGTGGGGCTGGTCCGGTGTGGGGCTGGTCCGGTGTGGGGCTGGTCCGGTATGGGGCTGGTCCTGTATGGGGCTGGTCCGGTATGGGGCTGGTCCTGTATGGGGCTGGTCCGGTATGGGGCTGGTCCTGTATGGGGCTGGTCCGGTGTGGGGCTGGTCCTGTGTGGGGCTGGTCCTGTGTGGGGCTGGTCCGGTATGGGGCTGGTCCGGTATGGGGCTGGACTTATACGGGGCTGGTCCTGTATGTGTACTCATACTGTAGGGGGCTGGTCCTGCATGGGGGCTGGTCCTGTATGGGGGCTGATCCTGTGTGGGACTGGTCCTGTGAGGGTACTGGTGCTATATGGGGATTGGTCCTGTATGGTGTTGGTCCTGTGTGGGTCTGGTGCTGTATGGGGACTGGTGCTATGTGGATTTAGTCCTGTATGGGACTGGTCCTGTGTGGGGGCTGGGGCCGTACGGAGCTGGTGCTCTATGGGGCTGGTCCAGTATGGGGCTGGTGCCGTACAGGGACCCGTCCTGACCCGCCGTCTGCGCAGGCCCCAGCGCCCCCCAACCCCCCCCAGCCCTCCCGTACCCCGCTGGGGCAGGACCCCCCGCCGGCCCCCCCCCACCCCTCCCAGCACAAACCCAGCTGGGCTGGGGGACACACACGCAGCATTTCCAGTTTAATGGCTTTTTGGGGGGGGGGGGGAACGGGACCGGCACCAATCCTGCCCCTCACTCCTCCGTCCGCAGGATCCGCAGCAGCATGGCGTGCACCCCCTCGTCCATGAACCCCTGCGGGGAGGAGAGCTTTGCGGTGGGGTCGCACCCAGCCCCCCCACACCCCCCCTAAGGGGGACACGAAGCCGGTGCCAGGCTCCAAATTTATATTTTCCAGCGCTGAAGCCAAAATTGTGTGTGTGTGAGTGTGTCCCCCCCCCACCTCCAGGTCACCCCGCAGCGAGGGGGACGCGGGGTCCCACCTGGGCAGCGTTGAGCAGGTGGGTCCTGTAGACGGCTACGACGTCCCGGTGGTTTTTCTGCTGGACCTGGGGGGGGGGGGGGGAGAGAAGGAGGTGGGACGGGTGACGGGGCGACGGCGGGTGACGCCGGGTGCTGGCACCCACCTCGAGCTGGAGCTGGAGCCGGGCGCTCTGGCTGCGCAGCCCCAGCACCTCCGCCGACAGCTTCTCCGTCTCCGCCAGCAGCTTCTTCATCTGGGGAGGGGGGACCGGGGGAGAAGGGGGGGGGGGACACAAACTCGGGGTGCTGGTGGGGACCGGACGGTCCCTGTCGCACCCCGGGGGGGTTTGTCCCGTTGGTTCCCATCTTTGTCCCCTGTCCCACCCCCCCCAGCCTCCCGGATTCGGCTGGGAGGTGGACTCGGGTGGGGGGGAAGCTCCCAGAGGTCCTGGGCAGCCCCCCAGCCCCCCAAACCCGGCTCCCCTGGGGGTGTCGGGGTGGTGAAACGCTGGGGCAGGGGCGAGGGGTGATGGGGGGAGCGGTGGGAGGGGGCCGGTGATGGGGACAGATATGGGAGGGGGCCGGCGATGGGGAGAGGGTGGCAGTGGGGACAGCAGTGGGACAGGGACGGTGATGGGGCCAGTGGTGGGGACGGTGAGGGAAAGGGGATGGCGATGGGGACAGTGATGGGGACAATGATGGGAAGGGGATGGCAATGGGACGGGGACAGCGATGGGGACAGTGATGGGAAGGGGATGGCAATGGGAGGGGGACAGTGATGGGGACAGTGATGGGAGGGCAACAGCAATGGGGACATCAGTGGGAAGAGTGATGGGAAGGGGACAATGATGGGAAGGGGATGGTGATGGGAGGGGGACAGTGATGGGGACAGTGATGGGAAGGGGACAGTGATGGGGGCAGTGATGGGGACAATGATGGGAAGGGGATGGCGATGGGAAGGGGACAGTGATGGGGACAGATATGGGAGGAGGACAGCGATGGGGACAGTGACAGGAAGAGGATAGCGATGGGAAGGCAACAGTGATGGGGACAGTGATGGGAGGGGAACAGCAATGGGGACATCAGTGGGAAGAGTGATGGGAAGGGGACAATGATGGGAAGGGGATGGTGATGGGAGGGGGACAGTGATGGGGACAGATATGGGAGGAGGACAGCAATGGGGACAGCAGTGGGAAGGAGGTGGCGATGGGAACAGGAATGGGAAGGGGACAGTGATGGGGACAGCGATGGGAAGGGGACAGTGATAGGGACAGTGATGGGAAGGGGACAGTGATGGGGACAGTGATGGGGACAATGGTGGGAAGGGGATGGCAATGGGACGGGGACAGTGATGGGGACAGATATGGGAGGAGGACAGATATGGGGACAGCAGTGGGAAGGAGGTGGCGATGGGAACAGGAATGGGAAGGGGACAGTGATGGGGACAGTGATGGGAAGGGGACAGTGATGGGGACAGTGATGGGGACAATGATGGGAAAGGGACAATGATGGGGACAATGATGGGGACAGTGATGGGGACAGTGATGGGAAGGGGACAGTGATGGGGACAGTGATGGGAAGGGGGTGGCGATGGGGACAGCGATGGGAAGGGGACAGTGATGGGGGCAGTGATGGGGACAATGATGGGAAGGGGACAGTGATGGGGACAGTGATGGGAAGGGGACAGTGACAGCGATGGGAAGGGGACCGTGTCCGGTGCTGGCAAGGGGCCGGTGCCCCCGGCCAGCGCTCACCTTCCCCTCCTTGTCCCGGCAGGCCCTGGCCAGCTCGCCCGCCCGGGCCCGCAGGTCGCCCACGCTCTGCTCCAGCCCGGCCGCCTTCTCCCGCAGCTCCCACGCCTCCCGCTCCCGCTCGGCCGCCCGGGCCACCGCCGCCTCCTTCTCCCGCTTCTCCTCGGCCGCCGCCGCCCGCCAGCGCCCGGCCTCGGCCCCCGGCCGCTCCCCGGGCAGCTCCCGGCCGCGCAGCTCCGCGGCGACGCCGGCGACCCGCTCCAGCGCCCGCCCCACGCCGGGACCCGGCCCCGGCCCCAGCTCCTCCGCCAGTTCGCCCAGCGCATCCTCCAGCTCGCCCGCCAGCCCAGCCCCGGCGTCCCGGCGGGTACCGTCGCCCTCCATCTCCGCAACGAGCTGCAAGGCCTCGTGCTGGGACCTCACCAGCCCGTCCAGCTTGCGCTGCAGCTCCCGCAGGACGTCGGCGCCGGCGTCGCCAGCCGCCTCCCGCGCCCGCTCGCCCACCCCGTCCCGCAGCGCCGCCAGCTCCCGCCGCTGCCCCGCCAGCCTCCGCCGCAGCCTCGCCGCCTCCTCCCGCTCGGCCGCCAGCGCCTGGGCCAGGGCGGCCGTTCCGGAACTTTCCGTCACCGGTTCGGCGCCGGGCTCCCGTTCCCGCAGCGCCCGCAGCTCCTCCTGCAGCCGCTCCCGCTCGCGCCCCAGCCGGGCCAGCTCCCCCAGGAGCGACCCGTTGTTCTCCTTCAGCTCCAGCACCTCCCTCTCCAAACTCCCACCCTCCTTCGGCGGCTCCTCTCGGCTTTTCCCACCCTGAGCCGGCTCCGTGCCGTTCACCGAGCACCGGCAAGGTGCCGCCCCGGCGAGCGGCCGCCCCGGCGCCCGCCGGAGTTTCGCCAAGAGGGCACGGGATCCTCCGAGCATCTTGGCGTGGGTCTCGTCGGCGCGGCTCAGCGTCTGCTCCAGCCCCACCGCCAGCTTCTCCCAGGCGGCCAAGCTCCTCCGGACGGCGTCGGCCGACACCACCTCGTAGTGCAGTTTGCTCCGCAGAGCTTCCTCCACCTCCCTCCGCAGCCCCTTGCTGCGGGTGAAGGCGCTCGCCTTCGCCGCCCGCATTTTGGCACACTCGTCCCCCAGCCAGGCCAGGAACGGGGCCAGCTCCGGTGCCGCGGCATCGCCGTTGAGCTGGTCTCCTCTGTCCTCTTCCTCGGCCATCATCCTCTTCCTCAGCTCCCCCACGTGCTGGGCCAGGAGGGCCAGGCAGGCGCCGTCCTCATCCTCCGTCCCGTCCCCGGCTCCGCGCGCGGGCAGGAGCCGCGCCAGCTCCCGCACCCGCTGCCGGATGCCGGCGGCGGCGGCCGCCAGCCGCTCGCATTCCTGCGTCTTCCTCGCCAGCCGCTCCTGCAGCCGCCGCACCCGCCGGGCATCGCCCCCGGCCTGCTGCTCTCCATCCCCCTCCTCCTCCTCCTCCTCCTCCTCCTCCTCCTCCTCCTCCTCCTCGCTGTCGCTGCCCGGGGTCCCCTCTCCCTGGCTTCCCACCTGCGGCTCAGGGTCCCCGGCACAGCCGGTGCCGTTCTCTGCCAGGAGGAAAAGAAGCAATCCCCTTTTTCCCTTTTTTCCCCTAAACCAAGCAGCCGGGCGAGGCCGGCCGGGCGGTGGAGGGTGGCGGGTGGCGGGTGGGGACTCACCTCCCCCCCCGCCGCGGGTGCCGCGGTGCCAGGGGTCCTCGTCCCCCACGGCTGCCCCGTGGCGCAGCAGCAGCTCGGCCGACTCCAGGCTGCCGTGCTCGCAGGCCAGCGTCAGGGCGGTCCTGCGGGAGCGGTGGCACGGCGGCGCAATGATCGAGTGGCACGGTGACATGATGGCGTGGTGGCACAGTGCCAGAATGGCGCGATGGCCCGGTGACACAACGGCCCGGTGGCACAATGGCACGGTGACATGGTGGCACAGTGACTTGATGGCATTGTGGCACAGTGGCAGAATGACACGATGGCACGGTGACACAATGGCACGGTGACATGGTGGCACAGTGGCATGGTGGCACAGGGACATGATGGCAGTGTGGCACGGTGACACAATGGCCCGGTGGCACAATGGCACAGTGACATGGTGGCACAATGGCACAGTGGCATGGTGGCACAATGGCACAGTGGCATGGTGGCACAGTGACTTGATGGCATTGTGGCACAGTGGCAGAATGGCATGATGGCACGGTGACACAATGGCACGGTGACACAATGGCACGGTGGCACAGTGGCATAGCAGCACAATGGCACAGTGATACGGTGGCCCAGTGGCACAATGGCTCGGTGACATGCTGTCACGCTGGCACAGTGGCACAGTGACATGGTGGCACAGTGACGTGATGGCATTGTGGCACAGTGGCAGAATGACGCGATGGCATGGTGGCACGGTGACATGGTGGCACGATGGCCCAGGTCCCTCCCCGCTCCCCGGGGACCGCTCTCGGCAGCGGTGACTTTCCACGGACCCGGGGGGGCCCTTGGGGACAGGGGACACTGCCACAGCTGCCCTTGCACGGGGCCCCTCCGGCGTCCCCACGGAGCAGAGCCACGGCGCCATCTCCCCGGGCATGGGGGGGGCAGAGCAGAGACACACCTCCCCCCCCCCCCCCGTCACCCCCAAATTGCCCCACAAGCGTCCCCCTGTCCCCACGGCCACTCACCTCTTGTCCTTGTCAGCCAGGTTGGGGGTGGCCCCTCGCTGCAGGAGCTGGGCACAGACGGCAGCGTGGTTCCCCCGCGCCGCCAGCATCAGGGGGGTCTGCCCGTGCTGGGGGGGGAGGGGGGGACACGAGGCACCCGTCAGCCTCTCCCCCCACCCTCCGTGTCCCCCCCCTGTTGTCCCGTCCCCCCCCCATCCCCACTCACCACATCGGTGACATCCAGGAGGGCCTCGTGGTCGCAGAGCAGCAGCACGCTGGAGGCACAGCCCGAGGAGGCTGGGGGGGGGGCTGTGTCAGCAGGGGGGGCGATCCAGCTCGGGGGGGTCACACCCACACCCCACCCCACCACCCCCCCCCCCAAATCCCAGCCCAGTTTGGGCCCCCAGCTCTCACCAGCCCAGTGCAGGGGGGTTCGGTTCTGCCCGTCCACGTGGTTCTCGTTGGCACCGTGCTGGGGGGGCGGGGGGGGGGGACACACAGCGGGCAGGGACCCTCCCCGAGACCGGGCGTCCCGCCCTGCCCCCCCCCCAGCCCTCTGCCCATCCTCATCCTCACCCCTGTCCCCATCCTTATCCCTATCTTCATCCCTACCCCCACCCCCAGCTCCATCCTCCTCCTCTTCTGCATCCTCGTCCCCACCCTCACCCCACCCTTGTCCCCATCTTTGTCCCCGTCCTTGTCCCCGGCCCTGTCCTCATCCCCATCCTTATCTTCACCCCTACCCCCACCCCCAGCTCCATCCTCCTCTTCCTCTGCATCCTCGTCCCACCCTCAACCCCACCTTTGTCTCTACCCTTGTCCCCGTCTTTGTCCTCGTCCTTGTCCCCATCCCCATCCTCATCCCCACCCTCGTCCCCATCCCTGTCCCCATCCTTATCCCTATCTTCAACCCTACCCCCACCCCCCGCTCCATCCTCCTCCTCTTCTGCACCCTCATCCCCACCCTCACCCCCACCCTCATCCCCACCCTCACCCCCACCCTCATCCCCACCCTCGTCCCCACCCTCGTCCCCACCCTCGTCCCCACCCTTGTCCCCACCCCGTACCTGCAGCAGGACCTTGACGCACTGGGGCTGGCAGGAGATGGTGGCCAGATGCAGAGCGGTGCTGCCTGCAAGAGACCAGCGGGCTGGGGACACTGGGGGGACCCCCCCCCCGCCCCAGGGGACATCTCACCTTGGGGACATCCCCCCTGCCATGTCAGGACAGGGTGCCACCCCGGGGCTCGGTGCCTTGGGGTGCAGGTTTGGGGTACAGGTTTGGGGTGCAGGTTTGGGGTACACTCAGCCCTTCGCCACCACCCAGAAGGGACACGGGGACAGGACCCTGTCCCAGCTCAGCCCTGTCCCTGTCCGTCCCCCCCCCCCCTTCCCCGGGGGGGTCCCCACGGGGGTCCCCAATTTACCGTCATCGTTCTTCTCATTAATGGGGGCCCCGTGGGCCAGCAGCAGCCTCAGGCACTCGGTGAGACCCTTGGACGCAGCCAGGTGGAAGCTGGGGGAGCGCGAGAGGTGGCTGTGACCCATGTCCCCATCCCCTCGGGGACCCCCCCCGGGTGTGTGTGTGTCCCCCCCCCGGGCTGACGTACGCGGACTGCCCCACGGCGTTGAGCTTGGCGGGCCGGGCGGTTTTGCGGGAGGCGAGGGCGGCCACCCTGCCCACGTCACCCTTCTCCACCGCTTCCAAAAGCTTCTGGTCCTGCTTGTTCCAGCTCTCGACCTGGGGGGGGGTGTGGGGCAGCTCTGGGGGGGCTGCAGGGATGGGCACCCCCCCCCGCCTCCCTGCCCCGCGGGCAGCCAGGGGAAACTGAGGCACAAACTCCCCAGGTAGAAGGCCCACGGCGGAGGCGGCGGTTTGGGGCTGACCTTTCTGTTGAGACGTGCCCCACTCCCCCCCCAGCGCCTCCCCCCGCGGTGGCGCGGAGCCCCCCCCCCCCCCGGCCTCAGTTTCCCCATTGCCAGGGTGCTCCGGCAGGGACGGGGCGCTGGGGACCCCGAGCCCCCGCGCAGCCCGGCCCTGGGTGCTGTTGGCCGGGGAGGCTGAGGCGAGGCCGGAGCGTGTCCCTGCCTGCGCCCGCCCGGCGGGTTCGGCGGGATCCCACGGGGCGGGACTGGGGCTGGGACTGGGATTGAGGCCGGCGCTGGGATCGGGATCGGGATCGGGATCGCAGCTGGTGTCGGGAACGGGACTGGTATCGGGACTGGGACTGGGATCGCAGCTGGGATTGGGATCGGGATCGCAGCTGGTGTCGGGAACGGGACTGGGATCGGGATTGCAGCTGGGATCGGGTCTGGGACTGGTATCGGGACTGGGATCGGGATCGGGATCGCAGCTGGTGTCGGGACTGGGATCGGGATCGGGACTGGGATCGGGATCGGGACTGGGATCGCAGCTGGTGTCAGGACTGGGATCGGGACTGGGATCGGGATCGCAGCTGGTATCGGGAATGGGACTGGGATCGGGATCGGGACTGGGACTGGGATTGCAACCGGTATTGGATTGGGACCAGGATTCGTAGCTGGTATCGGGAATGGGACTGGGATTGGGACTGGGACTGCAGCCAGCATCGGGACTGGGATTGGGACCAGGATCGCAGCTGGTATCGGGACTGGGACTGGGATCGGGACTGGGACTGGGATCGCAGCTGGTATCGGGACTGGGATCGCAGCCGGCACTGGAGCCAGGATCGGGGCCAGGGCGGCAGCGGGGCAGGACCGGCGCTGAGCACCGGGGCTGGATGGGGCCGGCTGGCAGCGGGGAGGGGGGGGACACACACAGCACCCCCCGGGCAGCGCGGCAGCACCCATGGGTGCTCGCAGGGCTCCGAGGCTGGGTGCTCCCCCCACCCACGGGGGCGGGGGGGGGAATCCCGCACCCCGGGCCAGGCTGGGGGTGTCCCCCCCCCGGGGTGTGTGTGTGTGGGGGGGGGGGGGGGGCCGGGACTCACCGCCACCTGCGAGCTGGAGCAGGAGAACATCCGCTTCATGGTGGCCGGGGGGGGGTCCCCAGGCCCCCTACCCCCCGCCGGGTGGGTGCGGGTGTGGGTGCCACGAGCGTCAGAGGCGTGTGGGTGCGGGCGCCTTGGGTGCGCGTCCTCCGCCCCGTCACCTCCCCACGCCCGGGGGGGGGAGCAGGGGGGGTGGCTTGTCCCGTCACCTCCCCGGGGACCTCCCGCTCGTGAGAGTGTGTGTGGAGGGGGGGGGGGGTGAGGGTGGAAGGAAACACCCCCCCCCACTTTGGGTGCCCATCACCCTGGCCTCGGGCAGCCTGCTGAGAACGGACACGCTCAGCTCACCCCTGAGGGGACAACACGCGGAGAGGCTGGGGACGTGGGACAGACTGGGGGGGGGGGGGCGGGGACGGACAGACAGACAGACACTGCTGTCCCCCCCGGGGGGGTGCAGACAGCGACGGACGCAGGTGTGGGGCTGAGACCCGGCGCGCTCGTCGCACTGCTGAGACCCCATGTACTCAGTGCATGACATAGCCCCTGCCCGCAGCCCTCCCTCTCCCCCCCAGCCCCCCCCCCGCAGTTTGGGTCCAAACTGGTCTTTTAAATTATTTTTCAATTTTTTTGTTGTTGTTTTTCTTCTTTTCCTTCTTTTTTTTTTTTTTTTTTTTTTACAGTTAAACCGAAGGGAACCAACCAACCGATTAAAACCACCTGCCGTGGGCCCCCCCCCCCCCGCGCCCAGGACAGCCCCCCAAAACCAAGGCGGCGGGGGGGGGGCACACACGAGCTTTGGTAGAGACAGGCTCACCCCCACTGGGGATGTCACTGCTGCCCTGGGGGGAGACAAAAAAGGGGGGGGGGGGCACATCCTGCCCAGTGCTGGGACAGACCAGGACCGCCCCCCCTCGCCCTCCCCCTCCCAGCCGCCTCCTCCCACCCCAAGACAACAAAATAAATAAATAAATGAGAGCGGAGACGGGAGGGGGGGACACACACACACGGGTCCCAAACCACTGCTCAACCCCCCCCCCACCCCCCCCCGCCACCACCCGGGGGGGGGGCACAGGACCCCCCCCAGCCCCATAAAGGTCCCAGGGGAATAGCAGCTCCCCCAAAACCTCCCCCTCCCCCCACTGCTGGATCCTGCCCCCCGCATCATTGTGCAGGGTGGGGGGGGGGTGGTTTGGGGGTGCTGGGGGGGCCACGGGGGGGGGCTGGAGCCGGTCCCTAACTGTCCGAGGAGCCCCCGTCACCCTCCTTCAGCTCCTGGCTGCTCTCCACCTCCTCGGGGATATCCTGCATCCTCAGGAAATCTATGGGAAAACACAGGGTTAATCCACACCCCCTCCATGAGAAAAGGGGGTCCCCCTGCCCGCCCCCCCCCACCCCGAAACCCTGGGGCCCCACCTCGGGGGCTGGCGGGGGGGGAGTGGTGGCTCCCCAAAGCCTCGTCCTCCAGGAGCGCGTCCAGGGGGTCGTCGCCCTCCCGCAGCCGGTCGGGATCGGCCCCCCGGTAATCCAGCTGGTCGCGGGGGCAGGGGGCGAAGGCGGGGTGGTGGTAGGAGAGGCTGGCGGGGTGGGGGCCGTGGCTCAGCTGCTGAGAGGGGGGCGAGAGGGGGGGGGGGGGGGGGAGGTCAGGCCTGAGCCCCTGTGCCCCCCCCCCCCACCCCCCCGCCAAGAGGTGGGGGCTGAGGCCAGACACACTCATGTCATGGATGAGCACGCCCTTCCCTCCGCCCTCCAACCTCCCCACAGCCCAAACCTGGCCCGGCTGAGGCCGGGTGCACTCGTGTCATGCACAAGGGTATCTTCCTTTAAACCCGGGCGGGCTGAGGCCGGATGCATTTGTGTCACGCATGAATGCATCTTCCCCCCGCCCCTAGCCCCCCCTTCCCCTAAACCTGGGTGGGCTGAGGCCGGATACATTCATGTCATGCATGAGCACATCTTCCCCCCCCCCCAGTCCCCACCCTGGGGCAGGCTGAGGCTGGAGACACTCACGTCATGCATGAACCCCCTTTCCTCTAAAACCTGGGCAGGCTGAGGCTGGACATACTCATGCCATGCATGAGCCCCTCTTCCCCCCCCAAGCCCCTACTCGGGGCGGGCTGAGGCCGGACACACTCATGCCATGCATGAGCACATCTTTCCCCCGCCAGGTCCCCACCCCGGGGCAGGCTGAGGCTGGACACACTCATGTCATGAGTGAGCCACCTTCCCTCTGTAGTGGGCTGAGGCCAGAACACACTCATGCCATGCATGAGCCCACCTTTCCCCTCACCCCAGTGGGCTGAGGCTGGACACACTCATGTCATGAATGAGCCCATCTTCCCCCCCCCTCCGGGCTGAGGCCAGACACACTCATGCCATGAATGAGCCCATGTTCCCAGCACCACCCCCCGGCAGGCTGAGGCCTGACACACACTCATGCCATGAATGAGCCCATGTTCCCAGCACCACCCCCGGCAGGCTGAGGCCTGACACACACTCATGCCATGAGTGAGCCCATGTTCCCCGCCGCGGGCACACCCCTCCGTGTCCCCCCCCGCTACCTGCGGCGGGGTGAAGCTGAGGTAAAGCGCGTCCCCGGCCGGCAGGCTCCTCCGCCGCGGGTCCCCGCCGCGCCGCCCGCGGGCCCCCCCGTCCTGCCGCCGCGCCTCGCGCAGCTCCCGCTCCAGCCGCGCGCGCTGCTGCTCGCTGTCGCGCAGCCGCGCCTCCAGCGCCGCCGCCTCCTGCGCGCGCTCCTGGCAGAGCTGCCGGCACCGGCCCAGCTCCTCCTGCACCAGCGCGTGCTGCCGCTGCAGCAGCGCCAGCTCCGAGGCCGCCTCGCTCGGGGGGGGCCCGGCCGAGCCGCCCCGCGCCGGCGGCTGCTCCGGCCCCTCCTGCCGCTGCAGCTCCAGCAGCGTGTCCCGCTGACTCAGCGCCGCCTGGGGGGGGGGGTCCAGTTAGGGGGGGAGGCAGGGGGGGGTCCAGTTAGGGGGGGTGGATGGGGGTTCGGGGATGGACATAGTATGGGGGGTGGAGGTGGGCAGGGGGGTGCAAGCGGGGGGGGTATCCAGTTAGGGGGGTGCGGGCGGGGGGGGATCCAGTTAGGGGGGGAGGCAGGGGGGGGTCCAGTTAGGGGGGTGCGGGCGGGGGGGGTATCCAGTTAGGGGGGGAGGCAGAGGGGGGTATACAGCTAGGGGGGGAGGCAGGGGGGGGGTATCCAGTTAGGGGGGGAGGCAGGGGGGTGGATGGGGGTTCGGGGATGGACATAGTATGGGGGGTGGATGTGGGCAGGGGGGTGCAGGCGGGGGGGGGTATCCAGTTAGGGGGGTGCGGGCGGGGGGGGGTCCAGTTAGGGGGGTGCAGGCGGGGGGGGTATCCAGCTAGGGGGGTGCAGGCAGGGGGGGGGGTCCAGTTAGGGGGGTGCGGGCGGGGGGGTGGATGGGGGTTCGGGGATGGACATAGTATGGGGGGTGGAGGTGGGCAGGGGGGTGCTGGCAAGGGGGTGTACCCAGTTAGGGGGGTGGGCAGGGGGATGGATGTTCTATGGCATGGGGGTCGTAGGTGGGTGGGGGGTGGATGTGGGCAGGGGGTGCAGGCAGGGGGGTGGATCTAGTTAGGGGGGTGGGCAGGGGGTGGAGGTGGGTGTGGGGTTTGTAGGTAGGGGGGTGTAGGCAGGCAGGTGTATGTGGTGTGGGTGGGGGTGTATGGGGGGGGCAGGCAGGGCGTGCGGGCAGAGAGATGGATGTAGGTGGGGGGAGTAGGCAGGGGGGGTGTATGTGGGCAGGGGGTGCAGGTGGGGGGGGGGGGGCCATCTTGTGCCCCCCCCCTCTCCCCGCAGCTGGTCCCAACCTGGAGCCCGTGCAGGAGGCTGTAGAGGTTCACCAGCCGCTGGTTGATCTCCTGGGGAGCAGAGGACGGGCCGGTGAACCCCTGGGGAAACTGAGGCACGCTGGCGCAGCGGGGAGGGGGCCGGCTCCACCCCCCCTGCCCCCCCCCCTTACCTCCTGGGGTACCCGCTGCAGGAGCTGGTTACCGTTCCCATCCTACCAAGAGAGACCAGTGACACCACGGTGGCCCCGGCCCGGGATGAGGGTGTCCCCTCGCCCCCCCCACACCCCCGGCAGTGTGTGTCCCCCCCCCGCCGCGCTCACCCGCTGCCCGGCATCCGAATCGGCCCTGCAAAACTCCAGGGAACCGTTGAAGCTGCCGGCATCACCGTCTGCAGGGAGAGGTGGGGGGGAGGGTGTGGTGTGTGAGCCCCACTGCAGTTCTGGGGGACCCCCCGGCCAGGCGCAGCCCCTGGCCCCCCCCCCTTACTGCTGGTGCTGGGGCTGGGGCAGCTCTCGGCCTCGGCGAGGTTATTCTGGTCCCGGTCGCGTCCGGCGCCTGTGAATATCTCCTTCAGGCACTCCACTGCGGGGAAAACGCGGGGTGAGCCCCACGCCGTGGCAGGGACCCCAGCCCAGCCCCGTGCCTCAGTTTCCCCATCCAGAGCATCGGCATCCCGGAGCGGCCGTACCTTCCCGGATGGCGTCGTGCATCAGTTTTTCCCCTCGGGCTCCCTCCGCCGAGTCAGAGTGGAAGAGGGAGCGGGGGGCCAGGGTGGGCGAGGTCTCCTCGCAGCCGCTGGCCAGGGCCAGCATGTCGGCGAAGAGCCCCACCTTCTCCTCCAGCAGCGCCGTGATCTTCCGATCGTGTTGCAGGATACGGTCTGCGGGACGGGGAGGATGAGGAGGGACGGGGGGGATGAGGAGGGACGGGGAGGATGAGGAGGGATGGGGGGGATGAGGAGGGACGGGGGGGATGAGGAGGGACGGGGGGATGAGGAGGGACGGGGGGGATGAGGGGGATGAGGAGGGATGGGGAGGGATGGGGAGGATGAGGGGGATGAGGAGGGATGGGGAGGGACGGGGGGGGATGAGGAGGGACGGGGGGGATGAGGAGGGACGGGGGGGATGAGGAGGGATGGGGAGGATGAGGAGGGACGGGGGGAGATGAGGAGGGACGGGGGAGATGAGGGATGGGGGGGATGAGGAGGGACGGGGGAGATGAGGGGGATGAGGAGGATGAGGAGGGACGGGGGGGATGAGGAGGGATGGGGAGGATGAGGGGGATGAGGAGGGATGGGGAGGATGAGGAGGGATGGGGAGGATGAGGGGGATGAGGAGGGATGGGGAGGATGAGGAGGGATGGGGGGGATGAGGAGGGATGGGGGGGGGTGGGGACCCCCGAGGCAGCAGCACCCACCTTTCAGCTTGCGCAAGGACGCTTCGATCTCCGTCTCGATCAGGGGAAAGTCCTGGCGGCTGGGGCAGCTGGAAAGGGGTGGGGGGGCTCAGAGCTGCGACCCCCCCCAACCCCATCGCACCGCATCCGCCCCTTCCCACCACCCGCATCCATCCCGCCGAGGCTCGGGGGATCCCTCCCCCCCCCCCCCCCCCCAAAAAAAAATCACACTCACAGGCTGACCGTCTGCTGGATGACCTTCATCCAGTTGTTGCGGTCGTCGCGGGAGGCGGCGTGGACCTCGTACATCTCCGGCGGCGCAGCGCTGATCAGGAACATCCCCTTCTCCTGGTTGGCGATGTCCCGCACGAT